GGTGGCGTACGGGGTTTGCTGTGGCATAACACTATTCGGTAAAGGTTGCTTAACGGGGGGGAAACAAACAACGGGGGTGGGAACAATTTTTGGATTTATAAAGAATATCCAGCGATTTTGAAAACGCCATCGGATAGAGCGTCGAAAATTATACTAAGAGATTTAATTTCAGTCCAAAAAACCTCATTTTTAACGATTTTGAATTAACTTTTTAGCTTAATAAAGTAATAATTTCAAATTGTGGTATTTCGGGCTCAAATTAAATCTCTTAGTATATTTTTTGATGCTCTATCCGATGGTACTCATGAAATCCAGGCAAAAAAAGCTCAAAACGCCGAAATGATTACATTATATGATTATACCTCATGGCCAGCCGATTGTTACTACAGGGTGTCCCAAAAAAACCCCCCCCCTCTAGTGGCACCCAGACGTGTCCGATTCTCGCCGTTTAGGTATCTATCGAAAGCTCTCGAAAAGGCGAGAAAACAAGGAGGGTTCATTTTCTTTATTATGTATTTTTATTGGCGAATTTTACCTCCAAAATCCATGAAAACGGCTGATTTACGCGAGATCCGCATGCTAATTGCGAAATTCCTATTGAAAAGCTACCTGTTTTTTAGAAAAACGCTGAATATCGGACAAATCAGAATAAATCTTAGAAAATGAAGCCCGCTTGTTTTCTCGCTTTTTCGCGGGCGTTCGAATGGTATAAAAATCATCCTGATCTGAGCTTCCCACGGACCGCTAGAGGGGGGTTTGGGACACCCTGTAGAGTTCGGGCTCAAATTAAATCTCTTAGTATATTTTTTGATGCTCTATCCGATGGTACTCATGAAAACCTGTCAAAACAGCCAAAAATACCAAAAATTACAGCCACTTTATGGTTATACTTCACGGACGGCCCATAGCCTTGTTGCTTTAATACCGAGTTTAAATTACATTATTTCGGGCTGAAATTAATTCCCTTAGGATATTTTTCGACGCTCTATCCGATGGCATGCTTGAATTAGCACGACAGGTCCCTGTCGGGAAAAATGATTTCCACACCCCGTTATTTGTCCCCCCTTCGTTAAACCCGGCCCCCCCCCCCCCCCCCCCCCAAAACCCCCCCCCCCCCCCCCCCCCCCCCACCCCCCCCCCCCTTCCCCCCCCCCCGCCCCCCCCCCCCCCCCTCTGCCCCGGGTTCCCCGTGCCCCCCCCCCCCCCCCCGGCCGGCCCCCCCCCCGCCCGCAAGAAAACTCTTCTCTTCCCCCAAAAACCCCCCAACCCCTTTAAAGGGATGCCGACGGCATAGTCAATCGGTTACGCGCTGGAAATAAAATGTCTCTGCGCCTCTCCCCTGGGCGCGCTCTCTCCACTGTTGGCTACTTGCCAATTTGTTGATGAGGGGGGATCGACACATGCCGTCGGCAGCCCTTTAAGCAACCTTTACCCACCCTTTACTTTAGGGAGCCATATATCGGCCCGATTTCACCAAATTTGAATCCAAACAACTTGCATCCAGCATTCAAATGATACCTTTGGTCGCAGAAATCGGGATTCATTTCATTTTTCTACTTTCTTACTTAGCATTCGGTCTAACGTAATCATCAATGAACACATTAGAAATTATCAGTGGGTTTTTCGCCGGCAGCTGTCTAGTTTCAGACTAAGCTAAACTGCCATCCTACCATTTTGTGCAATTTACTGCACAATTCAACCTCCCATTTTGCAGTCAATGCGGTCGCCGTGATCATCGAGTTATCGCTGGCCGCCCTCATCCTCTACGTCATCCACAAGGCCATCCTAGCCAGAAAGAAGAAGAAGCCCGGCAAGAATTCGTCGCAGAATAGGAAGGCCGATGTACATAGCTGCACTTTTGGCAGAGCAATCAGTTTTTAGAAGCACGCCAAAAAAGCGAAAAACTCGCCGACAAATGAGGCGCAATCGGCGCCCCGCGAAAAGACGGCCACCAAGAAATCACCGGTGGTCCCTGGGGAGAAGTTAAAGGTATTGAGTTTTTGATGGTAGAGGTAAGTTTTGGCGGGGAGGAAAAGCCGGGGGGTTTTCGGGTACTGGACTGCTAACGGGTGGGGGGGGGTTGCGGGGGGAATACAAATTTTTCCAAGCGGCCTTGACGGCCCTATGCTGAAATAGGTTAGAGTGCAGTTTACCCCCCCCAGCCCTAACTTTTCAGCCATACGTCCTATTAATGCGCCGAGTATCTCAAAATGTTCGCCGTGGTCGAATTACTATAAAAAAGTTGTTTTCTTGCGGCGAAAATTGCTAAAAAATTTTTTACAAGATTTTGAAAGTTGAAAAGATGAAGCCGCTATGCTTCGATGTACTAGGAGTCTAAAACTCACATATTTTTATTTTCCGCTATTTTTTTCGGCTCAAACGTACTGTAGGCTTATTCTACAGAGCAAGAGCTACATTTTGGTACTATTGACAGCTCTGTACGTCAAAAGATAGCCGAGAGACGAAAACTCACTTTGGAACAGCAAAAATTGACTAAAGAAAACCCAGACTTATAATTGTTATAAAAATTTTTCTAACAATTTTTGATGTAAGAAAACAACTTTTTTATAGTAATTCGACCACGGCGAACATTTTGAGATACTCGGCGCATTAATAGGACGTATGGCTGAAAAGTTAGGGCTGGGGGGGTAAACTGCACTCAAGCCCTGAAATATAAATAATTTTGAGGTTAGTTTCTCGAGATTTTAGTTATAAAAACTCATAAAATCAACTATAATAATTTTCTTGACGCGTCTGTCCGTCCGTCTGAAGCCGAATTCAACTCGAAGGGGAAAGGAGCTAGAGCTTAGCTCTCTTCGGATTCGGATAGAGCGTGCTCGGAAACCCCCAAACTGATAAAAAAATTATGAAAAACTTTTAGTTTAAATTATTAAAATTAACTTTGAAAGTTTTTTCCTTAGTAAAAGGGGAGGGGATGGAGGTTGGGGTGATTTTGTACATAGTGAGCCAGGTGGCGTGCGTTCCCTGGATGAAAATTTTCACGGGAGCCATTTCATTTCTATTTTTCTCCCACGTATCCGGTCGGTCGTTATTTTAGTTTTTTAAGGGGCATTCGCCTAGGGGAGGTATCTAAAGCCATCAGGAAGGTATTTAGGTAGTTTTTGAAGGGGGTTTCAGCCATGTGGGGTATCTGAAGCCATCAGGAGGGTATTTAGGTAGTTTTGAAGGGGGTTTCAGCCATGGGGGTATCTGAAGCCATGAGCAAGGTATTTAGGTAGTTTTTGAAGGGGGTTTCAGCCATGTGGGGTATCTGAAGCCATCAGGAGGGTATTTAGGTAGTTTTTGAAGGGGTTTCAGCCATGGGGGGTATCTGAAGCCATCAGGAGGGTATTTAGGTAGTTTTTGAAGGGGTTTCAGCCATGGGGGGTATCTGAAGCCATGAGCAAGGTATTTAGGTAGTTTTTGAAGGGGGTTTCAGCCATGTGGGGTATCTGAAGCCATCAGGAGGGTATTTAGGTAGTTTTTGAAGGGGGTTTCAGCCATGGGGGTATCTGAAGCCATCAGCAAGGTATTTAGGTAGTTTTTGAAGGGGTTTCAGCCATGTGGGGTATCTGAAGCCATCAGGAGGGTATTTAGGTAGTTTTTGAAGGGGTTTCAGCCATGGGGGTATCTGAAGCCATCAGCAAGGTATTTAGGTAGTTTTTGAAGGGGGTTTCAGCCATGTGGGGTATCTGAAGCCATCAGGAGGGTATTTAGGTAGTTTTTGAAGGGGGTTTCAGCCATGGGGGTATCTGAAGCCATCAGCAAGGTATTTAGGTAGTTTTTGAAGGGGTTTCAGCCATGTGGGGTATCTGAAGCCATCAGGAGGGTATTTAGGTAGTTTTTGAAGGGGGTTTCAGCCATGGGGGGTATCTGAGCCATCAGGAGGGTATTTAGGTAGTTTTTGAAGGGGTTTCAGCCATGGGGGTATCTGAAGCCATGAGCAAGGTATTTAGGTAGTTTTTGAAGGGGTTTCAGCCATGGGGGGTATCTGAAGCCATCAGGAGGGTATTTAGGTAGTTTTTGAAGGGGTTTCAGCCATGTGGGGTATCTGAAGCCATCAGGAGGGTATTTAGGTAGTTTTTGAAGGGGGTTTCAGCCATGGGGGTATCTGAAGCCATCAGGAGGGTATTTAGGTAGTTTTTGAAGGGGTTTCAGCCATGGGGGGGTATCTGAAGCCATCAGGAGGGTATTTAGGTAGTTTTTGAAGGGGGTTTCGGCCATGGGGGGTATCTGAAGCCATCAGCAAGGTATTTAGGTAGTTTTTGAAGGGGGTTTCAGCCATGGGGGATATCTGAAGCCATCAGGAGGGTATTTAGGTAGTTTTTGAAGGGGATTTCGGCTAGGGGAGCAATCTGAAGCCATCAGGAAGGTATTTAGGTAGTTTTTTAAGGGGATTTCAGCCATGGGGGTATCTGCAGCCATCAGGAAGGCATTTAGGTAGTTTTTGAACGAGATTTCGGCTATGGGGGGTATTGATGGAGGTGGGAAAGGATGTGGTGGAGTGAGACATTTAGGGTAGCCCGAAGGCCAGATGGTTGCAGTCGCGAAGCGACTGTAACCATCTGGTAGTTTGATAAAAATGTTCGAAAATTACTGGGTTTGTGCGCAAAGACATGAAAAAATGATCCAAAAAGCTCAAAATTTTCAAAATTTCAAAATTAAAAATTTTTTGGGAATCAAAAAGTAAAAAATTATAAAAACAAGAAAAGACTTGTTTTAACGATTAAATTCAAAAATTTTTTATTCTATTCACGATTACGAACTTCGACTTCTTACGAAAAAATTGAGTACAAAGTTTTTCCCCGCACACATTTTTCCATGGTTTGAAAATCGGTATCTACGCTGACCACACATTAAAACTTCCGTTTAGGCAGACGCCGACGCGGCCGCAGAAAAGGACCTCGAAAAATTATTAGAGTAGGTTTTCAACGGATTTAGCAAACCCGATTTGCCACTTGCTAAAAACCCCGATTTGCAGCGAGCGGACGAACAACAGCAAATCGGTCGATGGCGGCCCGCAGGCTGGGCCAGAAAAAGAAAAGAAGGAGTAAGCCTGCCTATCATAAAATATACATGTTCGCCTTTTCAGTCCACGCCTGTTCATCGCGGCTATGCCGGACGGCGGGTAAGGCGTTGTATTCGTTTTTAAAAGCGCAAAGTGTTAGAAAAAAAAACAGCCGGGCGGCTTTGGCAAACCCCTTCTCGTTTCAATGATCGACCGTATTTTGCATAGTTCTTCTCGGATGTCGATCAGAAAAAGGAAAGAAGAAAAATAAGAGCAAAAAAAAATAGAAAATTAGTTGGTTAGAGTGCAGTTTACCCCCCCCCCCCAGCCGGCACCCAACTTTTGTGTCTCGGCTCCATGTTCGTCTACAGGTGTGTAAAGTATACAAAAATACTCGCCAGAGCAAGACGAACATTTTGTTATACTTTACACACCTGTAGATGAACAGGGAGCCGAGATACGGTAGGTGGGTGCCGGCTGGGGGAGGGGGGGTAGCGGGAGGCTTGCCAACGGGGTATTTTCACGACAACTAAGCCCTAATATCAAAAACAGCTTTAAAGTCCTCCCCCTAACCGGATAGCGCTGACAAAGACTGACGATTGTTACTTATACATTTTTTGATCTTAGAAACCGAAGAATCCATTTAGGACGACGGATGCGCCCGACACGAAGCGGACGCAACACACCACCCATACCACAGAAAAGTCCGAAGACCAGAAATAATTTGGGCATTATATTACGTTTAATTTGTTGCAATCAATAAATTGTACGATCGGTGCTTTTTCCAAGCTTACCAGAGTTTTTGCTAGGGAATACAAGAAAACGATTTCCGGAGTATTCCCACCCAAAATTTATCCCATGACATGAAAATAGACAATCGACAATGAAACGATGATGATTATGGTTGAATATGATTATTGTTGTAGCGACGCTGATGATGGATTAAGCCTTGGCGTTTTCCTGCTGCTCTTCTCTCGTCTTCTCACTTCTTTGCGTCTCCTTCGTCACCTCCACGTCGGCCTGAGCGCTGCAAAAATTGAGGTTGCTCGTCAAGTCCAAGTCGTGTAAATTCCAACCTCGGATGCGGTAATGACGGGATGAACATGCGATGGCTAAAAAACAGCGTTTTTTTGTGGTAAAAGTTGAGTTTGCCCCTTACCCTATCCAGGAAATCACTTCTGTATCTCGGTTCGCCGTTGCCCTACCGGTTTGAAAAGTATATGAAAATGTTCGTCTTCGTCTGGCGAGTATTTTGAGATACTTTACAACCCTGCAGGACAACGGGAAACCGCGATGCAGAGGGTGCAGTCGGGGTAAACTAAACAACCTACTTTGCTTTCGCCTTCTCCTTGACGATGGCCTTCGACGCGGCCGGGCTGTCCGTCTCGCCGTGGGTCACCTCGCTGCAAACTAACCGTTTCTCCTCAACGCAGCAACACCCACTTTAGCAGTCTGTCCATCTCCTTTTCGTCGTCGCTGAGCTAGGAAAAATCGTATAACATCCTCGGAGCTTTCGCGATATCCGATGAGAATCGGATTTTTTCATTCATTTCGGAGAGGGGGTTCTCTCACATTGTTTGTGGTATTCTTAAACGTAAACGCCTGGCAAGAGATTTTACAAAAATATAAAAGCTATTTCTTCTCCAAACCCAGAGTCGCGGATTTTCGATCAGAATCCTACTATATATAAAAAAATAGTGTTTGTGTGTGTGTGTGTGTGTGTGTGCCACTTTGCATGCAACTTCCGTCAGGGTGTCCGGAGGTTATCTCGATAAGGGATGGGTTTGAGGAGGTGTTTGATACGTCATTAGATGCGTAATGGGCTGGAGATGACTGCACACATATCGGATTTTGTAAAATATGTTGTTTTCGACATTAAATTGAAGTTTTTCGTAAAAATTCGGCCACCCACTTTGTTAGGATAAAATTAGCATACTCCGGAAGTTGCAGTAGCCTATATAAAGGCCCGAAGTGGGCGTTTTTCATTTTTTGTCATCGGAATTGGGGCACAATTATGCAAAACGAAGAACATCATAGGGTTAGACGGGGCCAGGGTTGAAAAGTCGCGAAGCGGCTTTTCAACCCTGGTTTCAAATTATTTGCAAAATAACTTTGCCATTTGAAGTATAGCTCAATTTCCCTAAAATACTATTAAAGCACTTCCTATGATATTACTATACACATCTAGTCTCATCTGGTCCCGATGACCGACCTGAGCGACAGTATCCACTTTTACGGGCATAGACCCCGCATCTGGCTGGCTCATCTTCTCCGGCTTGAGCTTAGGCTTTGCGTTGTCATCAGTTCTCGCTTCAGGTGGGTCCTTCTTCCTGGCCGAGACGGACGATAGAGAAGCTGGGGCATCCTAGAAAAGTTAGGGTTTAGGTAAGACTCCAGATAACCCCCCAGCCGGCACCCAACTTTTGTATCTCGGCTCCCTGTTCATCTACAGGTGTGTAAAGTATACCAAAATGTTCGTCTTGCTGTGGCGAGTATTTTGGTATACTTTACACACCTGTAGATGAACAGGGAGCCGAGATACAAAAGTTGGGTGCCGGCTGGGGGTTATCTGGAGTTTAGCCAGGGTTTTTTTGTGACGCTCATTGGTTCTGGCAGTTTGTTTATTTGAGCCGATCACCTTGATTTTTAAAGAGCGATTTCCGGAGCGCAACTCGCCGGGCTTTTGCTTCATCTGGGTGATTTGGAAGAGGATAATCAGTATCCCGGCCGCCATCAGCCCCTCCAGCGTGAAACCAATCAAGTTCACTGCAACTTGGCTAACTTTTGATAAACTTGTTGCCTACCTATGATAATAGGCGTTATCATCTAGTTATCCCAACCGCCGGCAAGGAAGAACAAGGTAAAGATTCTCGTTTTCTTCATATTCTGAACCTAGCTATGCAAAATCGTGGATTTAATGCTGCGTCGTCTCTGTGCCATAACTGGCCTCATGTATGGCCATTTCTGGAGAACTCTTTATTCTCACACTGTTCGCACAAGCATCGTACAGAAATTGAGAAAATGAGAAGGCAGCTGGATGGGGGTGGGGAGAGGGAGTGATGGGGATGGTCAAGATGACACTGTGACACGATTGATGACAGCCGCGAATGTGGGGGGAGGGATCAAGAGAACAAGCGCCACTTTTGCAACATTGAGCACGGGCGGAGTTTTGGGTTGAAGCCACGTCAAGAATCGGCCACGGTTTTTTCGGCTAATAATGGAATTAGCGTCGTCATATCGAGGTTTTGAACGATGGTCCAGTTCTGTAATTAGCATCCGGTTCGGTTCAACCCAAACGTCCCAGGGATACAAGGCATAGAAATCGGGGTAGTCGAGGTGTAGGGGGAAGGGATACGCATTTGGCCTAGCTGATAGTGCACATTTTGGGGGCAGGGTAGTGATATTCAGGATTTTGGGTGCCGGAAAGTCTCACGGTAAGCTGGACGCATTCAGGTTCGAAAAGTCCCGATTTCACGTTTCCGTACGCTAACGTCGCTCCACCGATCCACTTTGCCGCAAACCCACGTAATTTTTTGCTGTAATGAGAAGCGACCGCAGATGAAATGTATGACAATCTTTAAAAGGCAACCTTTCAACGCATAGAATAAACTACCAGCTTGTAAAGGAGCTGGTAATCGTGTGTGTACGCTGAAATGTAGTGGAAAAATCACAAGTTTTGCTGGTTGGGGTGGGACGGGGCATTTTCAAGGGAGTATTCGCCCCAAATAAACACAAACACACAGAAAAACTGAGCAAAGGAGGGACAACAACATGAAGATTCAGCGCGCAAATGATCGCAAATCAAAAATAAAATCACCTAGGGGGTTCAAAAATGCACATATTCACACAGTGATAAATTTAGAAATGGGTGGGGGTATTGAACGGTTTTTGGATCGTTTTAGAGATTAGGATTAGCTAAAAGGGAATGACGCATTACCTTTTTTTAGAAATCGTACTGCAGCATATCAGGGGAAAAGGTTGACTTCATCGTTGGCAGAGTAATACGAATACCTCGCAGTCTTCTACAGGATCAGGCACTTTTTCTTCGGCTTTTTCGGCGGCGGGCAGAGGACAGCGCGAATGGCCTCGTCGAACACCTAAAAAACAGTTAAATCAACGATAAACTTGGTCAATTCATTGAACAAAGTGGCCAAAATATAATTTCAAGGCTATTTCGCATTATCAGGGGGCTGCCCAAAAATGGTCGGTTTTTACCTAAATTTCACCTAAAAAAATTCCGATGGTTTTATTGTTTTCCACTTCAAGCATGGTTAAATTTCACTAAGAACGCCATGAAAACAGTCACTATTACGTTTCCAAGCATTTCCGATAAAATCCCACCCCCCGATAATGCCAAAGAACCATCTTAAAAATTTAAACCCAATCAAAACTATTAGTTTTACCTGTTTGAGCCCTCGCTGCGTCAACGCGGAGCATTCGAGGTAGCGCACCGCTTTGATGTCTTTCGCCATCAACTAAAATGCACATTTTGTGTCATCGTTTAGTGCTCAAACCTGTCCCTGGACTTGGGAGATGGGCTGAAGCCTCCGTTCTCGGAGTCGCTCAACTGTGTCACGGTCTTCCCTATAAATTCGAAAATAAAATTAAGCAACCTAAGCTGTTTATAAAGCCGGGAATAGGCGAGGCAATATTATTTAAGATTACAATTAATACTGGGAACATACCTCAAATCAGCCTTGGTCCCGACCAAAATAATCGGCGTGTTCGGACAGTGGTGCACAACTTCGGGATACCTGAAACAGATATCCAAATCCAAGCCCGAATTACCATTTAGCGCGGACATTTTCAAAGGAAGCCGGGTTCACCAGCGAGAAGCACACGAGAAATACGTCAGTCTGTGGGTAGGAAAGCGGCCTCAAGCGATCGTAGTCTTCCTAAGATACGCAAAGATATCCATGCAATATTTTCAAGCAACCTGTCCCGCAGTATCCCAGAGGCCAAGGTTAATCGGCCTGCTGTCCACCATCACGTTGGCAGAATAGTTGTCAAATACCTAAAAGAAAATTATGAAAATTAGAACACTTCATTACGGTAGGAATGTATTCGCCGGGGAAGGCATTTGTGGTGTAGGAGATAAGGAGGCAGGTCTTACCTAAAAGAAAACGCATTGTTCCAGAAGTTCAGCTAAAATTTTGGTTTTTTCGCATTATCGGCGGCGGGGGACCAACTTTTTTCTAAGGAACAAAATGGAAACCGTTTTAACTATGCCTAAGCGCAAAAACGCTACAAATGCTTATTAAACACTACAAAAAATTACGAATGTTTGTGTGGGTGTCTTCCCATTAAAAATCTAGTCAAGTTTTGCTAAAAACACTATCAAACACTTTCTATCACGTTACTAAGAAGTTCAGGTCATAGAAATAAAAGTTAGTCCCCCCGATAATGCCAGAGAACCAAAATTTTAGTTAAAAAGAAACGCACCGACAGCTCCGTCACCCACGACGACGCATTTGATGGCCTGCATCGCGGCTCGGTCGAATCTGCCAAGCGATTAGGTCTAAAAGAGTTGTTAAACTTGCTAAAATTCATAAAAATAGAGTAGAAAAAGCTCGTTCCAAAATCACGGGTCAATCGGATCCCAAACATCAAGATGGTGTCAACAACCATCGCGGAAAAAGAAACGAGGGGCACGCAATGAATCGATTTATTCTCGGGGCTCACTGGGGAGGAATACCGAATTTCCGGGGCAAAAAGCTTCGATAAATATACCGCGAATGCAGGAAAAAGATGCACGATAAGAGGTGGGCTACGAAAAAATCAGAAAAGCCAAAAAGCAGGCTAGTATTCTGGCCGAAAAGCTTTCAAGGACATTTTGTAAACGGGAGCAGAGAGCATTATATCAAGTACAAGCCCATAAAATGTGTACTTTGCAAGGGTGAGCTCGACTTTGACAAAACTGTCGATCCCTGGGCAGCAGCTCTTTGACGAATCACAGGGTGAGCAGAAAATGGCATTTCACTGGAATATCGCGGAAGCAAGGCCAAAAGAGGAGGGCAAGAGGCACAAAAAAAGTAAGAATATCAAGGGGCAAACGGGATACCGGTGCAATTGAATAGATAGACGCCCGGGGGCCGATTAAGTAGCCGTAAACTGTAACTAAAAGGTGTTGACAATCGATGTGCAGCTCGATGGACGACGAAGTGGGATGATTTCTGAAAAACAACGGTAATTTGTTTGTTATGTTATCGTATTTTTTGACGACGTATCGAACCGGGTTCGCGAACTTGGGAAATTCAAAATTGCGATCATTGTTTGGGATGGGCCTTAAAATTTTAGTATTTTTTCTGCCGCTCTATAGATGTCGTTGAAAAATAAGGAAATCTGGGGTTCTTACGCATTATTCGGGGGGACGAAATTTGTCTATAGATCTAGAAATATCTCCCTACTTAATAGGAACTATAACTTGACTGCAACTAAAACACCATCTTAAAAGTCGAAACTTTGGTAAAAAGTCGGCCGTTTTGGTTGAAAATAGATATTTTTCTAAGTATATAAATTTCTAATGTCCGTACGCCCGCCGACCGACCGGGAATTCAGCCAAATTTTGCATTCAAATTAAAAATTCAAATTGCGGGGAGGGGAAGGCCAGCGCTGAACCCCCGCGTAGCGGGGGGTCAGCGCTGGTATTTTTCTAAATTTTTAAACAAGTTGTGTAAAGTTGGTAAGTCTAGGGATATAAAAAAGCCGCTTAGAAACCGCTCCTCCGCTTCCGTAGTATCCATAGTAAGAAAAAAGGAAAAAAGTCTCGAGGAAAGTTGGTCCCCCCTGATGATGCGAAAGAACCAAATCTGTAGTTTCGGGCAGGGGAGTAAACTTTTGCAGTCGGCATCTATAGGACAATATTGAGCTGAAAAAAAACAGGCAAAAAGAGGAAAACTTTCCTGGCCAGCCGCCTGGGCGCTGGCAAAGGGCCTAACCATCTTGGTGGTCAACGGGGGAACAGTGCTGCGGAAGGGTAAAGGAGCGGGAACCAACGGCGCAAAAGGGTTCCCCCATCCACTGAAAGCACTGGGAACACCCATCAAGCGATCAATGCCCCATCGCCCCCCGCATACCACATACACACAGACAGACAGAGGCACACAACCCGCTGCTGATCCAACGCCCGGGAAAGGAGAGCCGCCAATCGGGACCCCGGTCACAACCATTCATCCACCCATCACCACCACTCAACCACAATTATTTTTGGCACTTTAGAATTTCCGGAAGGGGCAAATTTCTGGCTAAAGGAATTATTTTAGGCTGTTTCTTACTGTTGTCTCTAGACTCTACTAGTCTCTACTAATCTTTAGCGATTTTTTTCGACCAAAAAATGACCGAGTTTCAACAAAATTTTTCTAAGTTTTTAATAAGCTTTCCAATTGAAATATAGGTAAATGTTGCTGAAAATACTATGCCAAATACTGGAAAAGATCTTCCCTAGAAAAATGAAAACCCCTTGCAGAATCCCAGAATGTTATTTGTAACAGGGAAATACATGGCGCCGATTAAAAGGAACTGGGCAAAATCTAAGTCTATAATGACTATCAGATCGGGATGAGTCACAGATTAATCAGCCCAGCCAAAGAAAACAAAAGTAGCCGATAACCGGAAAGTGCGACGGGTTACTTGGAAAATGGCTACTCCCGATCTTCATAGCTTCTTTAATTTTCAGAAAAATGGGGAGTATGAGAATGAAATTATATTTTTCTGAAGAAAAGACGCCCATTGAAGATGAATCAGCCCGGGGAGCGAGACTATGTCTCGAAAGCCATGACAAATAGGGGGCGACGTGACAATCGATACCGTTTTTTAATTCATTTCCGCCTAGATTTTTAACTCAAAGCAGAGGGCATACCATTCTAAACAGAAAGACCGGCGGTACGACGGCATTTTTGCATCGTCGCGCGGTAGATGAACTGGCGGCGATAGACGTTGCGAACCTAGATCGGCAAATAGTTAGAGCCTCAAGAACATACTTGTTTAATGTAATCCATGGCAGTGATGTTGTGATGCTGGAGAGCCTTGCCTAAAAAATGAATTCAAAACGCAACGAGAAATTGGATACCTAGTGTGTACACGGTGTCATCGCACGCCAAATCGGCCGCGTAGTTGTCGACAAGCTGGCGATGAAGCGGGGTGGCTGCCTCTGAAAAATCAATAAGAAACATTTTACACACTTAAAAAAGACGCTTTTGTTTTAAACAGACAGAAAGCTATAAATTCAATAAAAACAAATTAATACTCACCAATAGCCTCGTCAATAGGTGGGCCCTCTTTCCCAGCACCACATTCCGCCAGCGCCTTCTCCAGCTCTGTTTTCTTGTCTTGATAAACGAAAATGAACTGCTCGAGTTGTCGTTGCTGGCTCTCCAGGTCCTCCGTAATCTTCTTCAGCTTCGTCTGTCCGGTCTTTAGATCGTTTTGCGTTTGCCGGATCGAGGCCAACTCAGCTTGGCTTGTACCTAAAATGGGGAAAATAGTTTCAATACTCAAAAATCGTTCTTACCAAGTTTATCCCGGAGTTTATTGCGGAATTTGTCTTGCAGAGCGGAAATCAGCGACTGCTTGATGTGGTCGCCGCCGATGGACGTCGTTCGATCAGCCGGTGGTGGTGGGACTGGGGGCGGTGTTCGGGTGGAGCCTAAATCGAGCATAAAGATTTTATAACTTAGACGCACCTTGATTCGGATATCCGGAAAAGCCTCCACCATAGCCAGGGTAAGCAGACGGGTATCCGGGGTAAGGGTTGGACTGCGGGTATGGCGCAGTGTTGCCTGTTGGGTAGGGAGGCATTCCGGCTGTGCTCGACTGAAAAGGATGAGTTAATCAATGCTTTCAGTAGGTTATCAACAACTCGATCTTTCGATCTGGGCGGAAGTAGAGCTCACAGCTGGATACGGGGTCGTCTGAGGGTAAGGCGTCGGTTGCGGGCTTGGCATTGAAGACACGCTAGGCTTCGACGTTGCTCCCGATGGTTTGGCAAAGACGGGACACTTTTCTTGAAAGACGACCACCATCACCTGAAGAATTAGCATGATGTGCGCTTGTCAGCAGAATCAGAGGGTCCAATTATGACTAGCGGAATAACGAAAAACAACCCATTATTTACCTGCAATAAACCGTTGAGATCATATCCGGGAAAACGCCAATCCTTCAAATACGGCAAGAAAACGCGGCCCTGGTTGTTGACACTCTCACTTTCGCGAATCACCTAAACATCAATAGTCAGTATTTTGAAGAAAGCGATTACCATATCAGAGGTCGGCGTTACATAGCAGATCGGCGCGTAATATGGGTGTGTATCCCACAGGTACACAGACACCGGGATGTTGTAGCTGACGCCCTAAAATTTGACTTTATTTCTCCGAGTTTAATTTTTACCTTGTACGGCACGGGAATCGTTCCCTTCAACCGGAACGCTTGTCTTCGTTTGCCGTCGGGGTACATGAAATTCTCAAGCTCCGGCAGCAAATCTTTGAACTCGCGTAGGGCTGACATAATGTCCGCCTTGGCCGAGTCGACATATCAAAAAGTGTTTGATAACACACCAATTGAAGTAAATACTTACTTGGCGCTTGCTTTCGACAAGATCTGCTCGACCTGATGAGCCGACATGCAGCCGGGCTGAAAATCGAAATTTTTCGTTGAAATTGAGGTTATTGCACCAAATTGAAGTTTATCGGAATTTCCAGATGAAATTCGTAGCTTTGAAAAATAAACGATTGCAACAAGATTTAGATTCTGGAAAGTTACTAAACACCGTAAAGAGGAGTGTCTGGTTCAGAGGGTTTTGTTGCGTATCGTTCTTTGATGGAAATTTCGGCAATTGGCGTAAGAAAAATAAAGGATGCTCGGATACCGTAGAGTAAAAAAATTAATTTTATAGATAGTTTAACTTGATGAGTCATATTATTATAGAGAGTTTACTTAGCAAAGCTGTCGTGCGACCTGCCCGACATTTACCAAATTGCGAAATTTCTGACTTTTGGAAATGTTTCCATCGTCTTTTGGCAACCAGAATGCGCAAGAGAATCGGCGAGTTCGAAGATATTGGTAAGTATAGGTATATTGACGATTAAAATTAATAAAATCAAGGATTTAGGCCTGCTTTATCGCATCAGTTTCAACGTTAAAGGGCTGCCGACGGCATGTGTCGATCCCCCCTCAACAACAAATTGGCAAGTAGCCAACAGGGCAGAGAGCGCGCTCAGGGGAGAGGTGTAGAGAGATTTTCTTTTCAGCACGTAACCGATTAACTATGCCGTCGGCATCCCTTTAATGCGTGAATAGCGTAAGGCTGCTGGCCGCCAGGGGTCAAGCTTCCAGCCGTTTCTTCACCCAGTCGACGAGAGAGACAGAGGGTAGAGGACAGGGGCATCGGCTGGCTGTCAGGGATGCGTCATCGGCCCACAAAAGTCGGAGGGGCAGTGTTGTGGGGTGTCGTTCGTAGTCGGCTCCGCCTCCGTCAATAGCCAGCCCGGGGGGTAGAGAGAGTGTCCCCCCATGGCCCCTCCCACCACCACCAACCAAAAGCACAACCACCAATGCCCCTACCGGCTGCCACCTGCGCAAATACATGCTACACCAGCGTGTTTTTCTCATTTTCTCCGGGCTTTGTTGCTTTTGTAAAGGACTGTCGGTTTGGACACGGTCAGATTGTATACGGTAATGAACAGAAAGTGCCAAATAATGGGGTTGACGCTAGAAAAAGCCAGTAAACGGGCATAGGAACGAAGAAATTACAAAATTATGCTTTTAAAACGCCCAAAAACACGGTTGGGTCTCTGCGAAACTTGAAACATTTCGAGATTCAGATATGGTCAATACGAAAAATGTGTATTCGTTAAATGAAGAAAACAAATTATATTTTTAAGGCTATTCCGGAGCATTTTGCGTGCATTGACACACGATCCGTTATAATTAGCTCCGATATTGAGGAGAGATGGTTTAAAAATCGTTTTAATTTTGCAAATATCTTGCTATCTCTCTCTCTCTCTCTCTCTCTCTTTCTCGCCCTCTCTCGCCCTCTCTCGCTTCCTTTGACTATCCTCTCTATCCAAAAATTCCAGGGCCCAAAGGGATGTTCCCATTTTTGGCCCCGATCGGGGCTCCACAATCGCGGCTCCGGTTCGGGGCCCACCCGGAGCGGCAGGTGGAAATCGTCTTCTTCTCCGACTCCCCCTTTCGATCACGGGCCCACAGCCATGAGGTTGATGCGACACGGTTGCAGACGGTCTGTTATCGGCCCAGCTCTTTGTATAATATTTTTTATTAGGCGTCGATATAACTATGCAAAAAACTTTAGACATCACCGACTCGTGCTCAATCCGTGTCGCCATCCCGTTCTTCCGGCTCGTTGCGGCCTTCATCATCGTCGACGGGCTCGCGGTCCCCGAAATCATCGCCGGTCCCCCCGCCCGCCCCACCACCACAACCCAGGAATCGGAACCGTGGCTTTGAGACATCCAGTGCAATGCTGGTGGGTTCGAATTAGGGATTTTATAGGGTGTAGATTAAGATATTTATGTTTTAAGACATTTTTAAGGGTTTACCGATTACAATTTCGGAACTGGACTGTTTGTGGGGGGATTAACACGGTGAAAAGTAATTTTTTCCAGTAATCCTAGACGGTTCTAGGACAAAATATAACACAGTTCGTAGCATTTATGCCGTTTTTCTATACAAAAGGTCCATAAAAACTTATAAAAAAGGTTAATTTAAAGTTTCGAATTTTCAAAAATGTCAAAAATGTTTCTGTAACGTTCTAGCAATAAAAAACCCCACTAAAAACATCGCAAAAATACGCAATTTATTATTAACAGGTGTGTCTAGGTGAAAAAATTTGTCCCTCCCCCGATAACAGCCCAGTACCGCAATTTCTAGGAGCTATTCGGCGGCGCCCCGGGTACGTCCGCATTCTCCAAAGATCACGAAGAAAAAGAAAAGTCGGCAACGGAGAAGTCCTATGGACGGAAGACGGTGCTCACCAGCCAGCAACCGCAGGAGAACAACTTTTGGGAGCCAGTGGTGCGTTTCCTACTTTTCCTAATTTCCCAATATCATTTCCAGACGCACGCGTCCACTTCTGGTGGCGGGCTTTTCAACGCCGTCGAGGATCACGACGCCGCATATGAGAGGGCGCTGGCTCGCGGAAAGAGGCGGCCGTTTGAGCCGAGGAATGAGCATATGGTATGTGTAGAAAACAATTATTTACATGTAAGTGAGTCTCGATGCCAATTAAATGAAGCTTCCAAACTGAAATTTCAGGCTCAGACCGAAATTTCTGAGCCTCCGAGTCGCTGCCCGGCCGAGGACCTCGTCACCGATCAGAATATGGAGGAGTTGCGGCGACGGCTTGAGGCCGAGCAACTGGAATGGGGACAGGACGAGGAGGAGAACGAGGATGAGGAGCAGGTATGGCGATTTCGATTATTCAATTGTTTTTTTAGGAGGAGGGCTCGAGAGATCGACGAGCGATGGACGAATGTCCGGCGGCGAGAATTCTGGCCGAGCTCGGGCTGACCAGCGACATCTATCAGAATCCAATCTCTGGTGAGTTCAAAACTGCTTTTTGTTGCTCCAAAACAGCTTGTTATCACGCCCTTTTTAATGTGCTAATTTCTAAAGCAGGTCAGATTTATTTTGCGCTTTTTCAGACCTGTCCCCCATCGAGGAAGTTGATACCCCGGCGTCGAGCAGCGATTGGCGAGGCTCAATCGAGAGTCGAAATGGGCGCATGATGGGCGAACCGGGGCCGGATCTCGGCGGCGACGACGAGGTGATACAGCTCGACGAACAGGTTGGTTTTATTCAGGGTTAAAGGTTCTAAATAGGAATTTACAAAATGTCTAAATTATATCTTGATCGGCCCATATAAGTAGGATTACGACTTTACTCCCATTTCCCTGATGAAATGCACTGGACTGTTAGCGGGGGGGGTAACTTCCGTTGTCCGGCTATACCTATTGATAATCTTTAATGTATTTTTATAGTGAGTTTAGAAGGTTTTAATTGCTAGATAATTATAAAAAATGTTTCATTTACAAAATCCAAAAATTTTTAACGTTTTTGGCCATTTTTCATACTTTTTTGACGACAAAGTCAAAAGTTTTCGAAAGATTTCCGAATTTTTTTATAAGCCCTTTATATATAGAACCATTTTACATATTATAAAATGGTTTCTCCATTTTGCTTTAGGGCGCTACGGGATTAATGCGAAAAATTTAGTTTACTGCTGCTAAAAGCCCCCCGCCATCAGTCCACTACCAACTAAATTAGGTGTAATAGCTTTCGGCGCAATGGATTTCTTGCGGTATAACGCTAAGACCTGTAAGGAGTACGGAAACGTATTTCCCCCTCGTTGGCCATCGGAACGCAACAAGAGCCCCCACCCGGCAATGGGTACTCGCCGTTCCTATAAACAAACATTGTCGGGGGTTAGGGCGAATGGGCAACTCCCTGAAGGCGCCCGTATAATGGGGTGTCTAGTGGAGTGTGTCGTAGTGGATGTTAGGGGGAAGAGGTTCACATTTCCGGTGCAAAGGGCCATATTTCGACATGAGGCCCTCTCCCGTTATAGGGTCGTGTGGTGGTGCATGGTGGTGGTCGAGCAACAGCAGCCGAGAAGTCCCCTCCTCCCCCTGGCAAGGGCGAGAGTGCAGAGGGACCAGCCGATGGGGGCAGAGACGCAGACGAAGCCGGCGATCGAGACGACGACGCCTCCCACTCCTCCTCACATCCACTATCCGGTGGTGGGGACGCGCCGCCGTCGACTGAGGCTTCCGAGATGGCACTTCTTGTACGAGGAGCACAGGTATGGTAGTGTTATTGCATTCTAGGGATTACCGTAGTTTAGGGTGATCTCCTCGTTTTTTTGCGCGCCTCTCACAAGCAGACGTTTTTAATGGCTTCAGGGTTTCAAGTTAGGACAGCACTTACCTTATGCAGAATTTTGCGCTGATTCCGAATATGGCTACCAAAATGAGGGAATCTCGATTTTCTGAAAGTTATGAACCATTTAAGTTGGGAGAAAACCATCAAAAGTAGCTCGTTTTCGACTTTTTTCGGCCTTAGGTCATCCATAACTTCCGGAAAATCGCGATTTCCGGAAGTTTGGCATATTTAAGGCCAGCTTAAAATTCTGCACCAGGTAGGCTTGGTCCCACTCGAAACCTCGACGGCCATAAAAACTTCTTGTCAGAATACCTCAAATTTTCATAGACGTCTTGAAGTCTCTTTAAAGCAACTTAATTACAAAACGAAATTATAAATTTAGGGTCGAATTTTCACAATTTAATGCGCATTTTTATGTTTTTTTTTGTGATAGTAAGAAAAGATTTAGCTAATTATTTCGCGCTTTCAGGAACGCAAAAGAAGAATTTTCACGATGCATTTTCGGAATTCTATTTGCGTGGCTTCACATTAAGTCAATCAGCCATTTCCCAAATCAATTCCCCAATTTGTCCCCCATTTTCCACACGCTGTTTGCCTAGCCGCCGCGCGGAATCTGGCGGCTTCAAAGAAAAACGAATAAAAACGCAAAAAATTTTTACAGGTGGTCAACGACGACAGCGTGTTCAGCGCCGACGTCCTAGTGGAGGATGGAAAAATTACGTGAGTTTTGCCAGCTATTTTAGATTATTTCGGGTTGATTTTTAGGTTAACAGCAGCGTTATTTATCGCCTTGAATAAAAATCGATATTTTATCAATAAATAATGCCCACCGGGCCGCATTCACTTCCAATTCCCGAGTAATTTGTCAATTTTTCAGCCAGGTGTCGGCAGGGATCGATGCTCCACCCGGGGCGACAGTCATCGAGGCGACAGGTGGGTCCAGCCGGCCATGCCCTCGGGCCACAAAAGATTTATGGCCCTGGCTACGGGGCCTAACGACCGCCTTCAATCCACTTTGATATACCTGTTATTCCAGGGCGTCTTTTGTTGCCGGCCGGCATCGATGTGCACACGTGTTTCTCGGCACCGGATTCGGTTGACGATTTCAAGACGGGCGGACAGGCAGCAGTGGCTGGGGGTACGGCTACGGTGGGTGCATTGGAGCGAAGTGTACTCGAGAGAGAAAACTGGTTAATGCTCATGTAAATAGTATTTTTTTAGGTGATCGAACTGGTATCGCCAAGAGACAACGAGACACTCACCGCCGCTGTCAACCGCGTCAAAAAAGTTCGTAGCTGATTTTAAAGGGGCATTGAAGGCTAAATCCACAGATTTCACACTGGAAAAAGTGAATACCACCGTTTTTGCAGTCGATCGACACCTCGGCATGCCATGTCGGCTTCTCGGTTCGAGTCCGACGGTGGGATGACGGCGTGCGGAAGGAGGTGGAAACCCTATCCAAGCAGGGCATCAACAGCTTTGCCCTCGACCTCGACTCGGACGAGAAGCTCTACCAGGCGCTAGACGCGTGCCGTTCGTTGGGCGTCCACGCGCGTCTGCTGCCCGAGAACCGCTCTGTTGTTGGACAGCTCGAGCAGAAGATGCTCAACCTGGGCATCACGGGACCCGAGGGATTCCTGCAGTCTAGACCCGAACAGGTAGGGTATTTTGAAAATGGGTCTATCTATTACCGCCTCTCTCTCTCCCTCTTCTCTCTCTCTCTCTCTCTCTCTCTCTCTCTCTCTCTCTGACTCTCTCGCTCCATCTATCTCTCTTTAGCTTTCCCTCTCTCTCACTCTCTCTCTTTCTCTCTCTCACTCTCCCCGCTTAGCAAATGCTAGCCCGGTCAAACCATCTCCCTTGACTCGATTTCCGGTCCATTCCGCTGATGCACTCCTCCGACCAGCTAGAATTCCAAATTCCGGAAGAGCCGGCCCCTGTGTGGGAAGGCCCCAAAATGCGGGTCGCGTCGGATTCGATTTGGGCCCTAGCTGGGCCCTAGTGGCGGGGGGCAACGCCAAAGATTTCCGGTTCCTTTTCTAGGGGAAAGGCTGTCTATGGGGTAGAGACGGAGAGTGATCAACAATTCTCCCGCGCTCCGCTAATTGCTTGACGAACGTCTTCGCGAATTTTGGAGGAGCATTAGAGGGGGATGGGGAGGCTGGCTAAAAATACTGGAATTTTGTGGGGGGCCTAGGGGAATTAGTTTTTTTGAGAAGATGCGCGTTTTCAGGGCATATCCTTTCGAGGCCAACTAAAATCCCAGCGCCCAAAATACCGAAACGCGAAAATACCGACAGCCAGAATCCCAACAATATGAAACGGCAGAAAAAGAAAGAAAAATACCGACGAAAAAACTGTCTCTTTTGACCTGTCTCCGCATTTTGGCCTGTCGGGCTGGTGACTGTCGGGATTCTAGCCGTCGGGATCCTAGCCTGTCGGTATTTTGCATGTCGAGGTTTTACGCTGTCGATATTCCGAATGTCAGGATTCCGGCCTTCTACGTTGGCTTGTCGGTACTTTGGCTGTCGGGATTTTGACTGTCGGCGTTGTGACGTGGGAGATTTAAATGTCGGTATTTTGGCGTTATCCCACACCATTCGCTACCTGGCCCATTTTGAATATATTAACGTTCGACACATCGCCACCCTCAAAAAGGGTGCCAAATTATACTGAAGGGGCCTTTTTGTGTCCATCCACCGGGGTCAGGGACCATTTCCTGTCTGGCCTATGTCGGGCCCTTTATCCACCCATACTGGGGTATTCAGAGAGAGAGAGAGAGAGAGAGAGAGAGAGAGAGAGAGAGAGAGAGAGAGAGAGAGAGAAGCAAGGGCAGATGGTTGCTACCCCGGCCGCACCAAGCCCGCCAAGGGCATCAACCACAATTAGGGCCCTCATCCGATCGATCCGTTCTCACATCGAGCAGAGCGAGGGATTAGCACCCCTAGAGGGTTGATTTGCGGCTGCTTGGCTTGGTGCCAAGATTTAGGCAATTAAAGCGGATCGGTATGGAAGTGTGCTCTCTCTCTCTCTTCTCTCTCTCTCTCTCTCTCTCTCTCTCTCTGACTCACCCTCTATCCCCCAAAAAAGGTGAAATGCCGGGGCCGGATTGCGAAACTCGGACACCCCTTTTGAAAGCGTTCCAGGTCCCCATTGCCCGTTACACTTTTGAGAGCCGAAAGGGCAAGTGGTAATTGTATCCGTTCGGAAACCCCCATACACCGCACCATAAGTCTGCAGAAAGTGGCTTACGTCCAAGAATCGTGAATAATATCCTGGTAAACTGAAAGAAAACTAAAAATGACAAATCCAGATCGACTCAAAAAACCCTAAATATTTTCCAGCTGGAGAAGGAGCGTGTCTCTACCATCTGCCTGCTCAGCCAGATCACCAACTGCCCGGTGTCGATCCTTTCGGTAGGTTGAGATGATCGAACTTCCTTAAAAGGATCTAAAGAAGGTTCTTTCGCATTATCGGGGGGGGGGGGGGGGGAGCAACTTTTTTCCATGGATCCAATTTTCTAGCATAAATAGAAGAAGTGTTTCTAAACTGCTTTTCCACAAAAAATAGCCATTTTCGACGAAAAAAAAACCACCTAAAAACGTTGTCTAATTTTTTGATTGTTTTTACACTTAAAATAATGTTAAATTTTATGGAAAACTATTAAAAATATTAAAACAACTTACTATCACGTTACTAGGGATTTCTGGGCAACACAAAAAGTTGGTACTCCCGATAATGCCAAAGACCCCTACGGAAATTCCGTAAATCAGAAATTTTGAGGTCGAAAATGCGCCACTAAAACATGGGAAAATTTTTGAATTTTGAAAAACCTCGTCTAGTGCAGTCTTTAAATTGATTCTCTTCTTTTCTTAGCACTTCTCTTTTAGCACCACGAATAATACTAAAACGCTACATTCGTATAGTTCCTAGGGGCCCAAACTAGTGGCCCCCGCTGCCAGCAGAGGGCCCAATTATCAATGCATGCCATCGAGCCATCCACCCGAACTGCGGGGCAGCCTTTCACTTTTCTCACCCCCTTTTTGACATGGTGGGGGGTCACCCCGGAGGAAGCGCCAGAAATTTGGGTTATCCCCCAACAACAAAGGGGGGAATACGAAAAAAATGTTAAAAACCAATTGGAAATGGAATTTTTTGAAAACTTCTAAGATTCCCAATCGAGGATGTCTCTAAATACACATACATAAGTCGAGTTTCAACGTTTATAAAATGCAAAATACCGAACAAAAATGGGGCCAACTTACGAATATTTCGATTTTTTCGCATCATCGGGGAGGGACATGTATCAGGGCGGAAACCCACTTTTTTTTCTTTAGTAGTTAAGTCTTTAATATAATTAAATCACGTTTTTAACATTCTCAAATGTTTTTTCGATGGTAATGTATCAAAAAAAACTCCAAATTTTTACTAACAATACAAAAAAAATCGATTTTTTTTCGACTAAAATGGCAAAATTTAAAATCTAAAAGTTTTTAGATAATTTCCATGTGAAATACAGCTAAATTTTACCAAAAACACTAAAAATACTTTTAATTTGCTAGACTTTGCTGGACTTGTGCCAAAAAACTCCAATTTCAGTTATCATCAGCAGAGAGTGCGACGGCGTTGAGGGATGGCCGAGATCAAGGAGCCATCGCGCATCCGGAGGTGAGTTTTCGGCGGACAAACGTTGGAATTTTCGACTATGGATAGTTGCGGACTAAAAATGAACTTCAATTAACTCAAAATCGCCAACATCCTCTAGGTGTCGGCGGTGTCGATCTGCTCGGACGGGACGAACTACTTCAACAAGTGCGCCCGCCACGCTGCCGCCCATATGACGGAGAGCCCGTTGCGCACGGAACACCAGAATCAACAGCGCATGCTCGGCACACTATCCTCGTGCGTTTTTTTTGTAAATTTAACTAACTTTAAACCAACCTTAAAAACGCTGAAAAATGAAAAAATTTAACTTTATATCGAAAAATGCATGTGTGTTTTAATAATCATTTGTAACGCTTTTACGTTTAGGAACAGAAAAAACAGCTTCATGTATTTATAGTAGAACAATGCATTAAAGAAAAATCCCCCCGATAGCGTACAAGAGCCAAAAATGCCCCAAATATACGTGAAAAACCGCCCGATTTAATGTCTGCATTGAAAAAATTGATTGTTCACTAATTAATTTTATTAAATTAAGCTAAAATTGAAAAGATTAAATGCATCAAATTAAATAAAAATGAATCAATTTTCAGGGCACCACTTTGCATGTTCGCCTCGGGCCACAAGGCGCACTCGTCGGCGAGCAGATGCGGCCGTGACTTTGTCGCGATGCCAAAAGGAGTTGCCGGAGTAGCCGAACGGCTCGCCGTGCTCTGGGAGAAAGGAGTCCGAGGTGGCCGCATCGATCCGATGCGATTTGTCGCGCTCTCATCCACAAATGCGGCCAAGGTCCGTTGAATATTCGAAAATCGAACCTCAAATATTTTGCAGGTCTTCAACCTGTACCCCCAAAAGGGACGCATCGCTGTGGGCGCTGACGCCGACTTGGTGCTATGGGATCCGATCGTGAAGCGACGACTGTCGGTGGCCGATTCCCATTCTAAAGCCGATACATCGCCGTTCGAAGGTAGTCTATAATATTTTACGCGAGATATCACTGCTTTTAAGGATGTTGTTTCTATTTCGTTGAAAATAATTTTGCCGAAATATCATTGTGTCGAAATTTCCACGCATTTTTTAATGCAGAATGAAATTTCGATAAAATGAAATTTCGACAAAATAATATTTCGGCATATTTATTGCAATCAGGTTGTCGAAAATCATTGAGCATCAGGATCAGAAAACCAAAATCATTTGATTTTGAGGTAAATAATAATCGAGGCGAAGAAGGCATTAAAATTTCGACAATTTGAATTTCGTCAAAATGATCTTTCGACAAAATTAAAATAACCCTTTGAATCCTTTTAAGGCCTAACCGTGCATGGCGGCGCTTCGATCACGATCGTCGGAGGCCGCGTGGCGTGGAAGGAGGGCGTATGTGGGGAAGGTGGAGGCGCACAGCCACTCGTCCTGCCGCCAAACTCCCCTCATCTGTTCGCCGTCGTGCAAATGCGGGAGCGGGTATGTTATGAGTCGCCTAACGGTTCATGCTAAATGGAATATTTTTTTGGGTCAAAAATTCATGAAAAAGTTCCATTTTTACTTTTTAGCAACCAAAAACGATCAAGTTACTAAAAATTACCTAGTAAACGCCTAGAAATTAGCTACATAGGTATAGGCTTGGTCATAGAAAATTTCCCTACCTTTTTGCTGGCGTAATATAGTCGGATAACGAGCACCAACTTCAGTTGCAGACGTGCGCCTTCGAGAAGATCGAACGGTCCGACTCTGATGTGATGGTGTCAAATGGCGGCGGCCCGAAACGCGAGGCCAGCCCGTATGGGGATAATCAACCGCCGACGGCCCGACCACGCCGTGGCCACAATGAGAGCTCGATCTCGTTTGGGCATCCCGGTAGGCGTTGTTCCATTAGGGCACGGTGATCTGACATCTCCATTTTTCTAACATTTTTCTTGTTTCTACAGTTTTTTACTATTCCTCCATGCGAAAACGTTAATTTTTTTATTAATGACACAAAAATACAGATTTTTGGTTCTTTCGCATTATCGGGGGGGTAACTTATTTCTCAGAATCAATTTTTCGAATAGCGGAATAGCGATGCGGAATGATTTCTGAATTACATTTTACTATTCCTTAACCAAAAAACTACGCAATTTCGATTAAAACATACAAAAAATGTCGAATTTTCGACCTAACCGGCCGTTTTGAACAAATTTTAATTTTAATAGTTTTTCACGTGATCATAGCTAGATTTTCGCAAAAACACTATTAAAATACTTTATGGCCTCCCCCGAGAGCAGAAAAACACCTGAAATCCACTGCAACACCATTTTTCAGCCGACAACACCCCAGCTGCTCGGACTCGAAATCCGCCCGGTGGCCGGACCACTGGACTATGGTAAAACAACAACTCATCAACCCCTTTCATCATCTAGCTACCAATTATTCCTTTCAGTTTTATTGTGTATTTATTTCCGCCATTTCCCCCCCAGCTTTCTTCTTCCGTCCCAAAGGCCAAACTATCCCAAATCCATAATTGCTACCGGTCCACCCAAAGATAGCCCAGAAATCTCAACAAACCCCATCCAGCATAATAATATTTTCTTGGGAATCTCGATCGTCTTTTTGGTACTTGGCTGTTAGCGGGGGGGGACGTATTTCTGTCTGGGGAACTAACTTTCATCTTTCCGTCTAGACCTCGTTATTGATAGCATAGAATGTATTTTGATGTTGTTTTAGTGCTTTTTGATTCACGGGCATTCAGAGGACAGGGAAAGCGCCTGTGAGAGGAGGGGCGGCTCCAGGGCACTCCAATGGCCGCGCGTGTACTGTGCACGCTCCGCGATCCATGATCTCCCCATAGAAAGGGCCGAAAAATGGTCAAAAATTTTGAACTTCAAATTGCTATAACTTTTGAAAACGCCATGTGAATCGGGAGCGCTGCTCTAGGAATGTAGAGAAGAGTCTGGGCTATGTTATGGAACAGGTCTCAGACCGATCTACAGCAGAAATAAGGACTTCTATAGCTTTTTAGCTCAAAAAGTGTCAAATTCCGTCCTTTGTGCGAAGCGTTTTTCTTTGAATTCAGGCTCATTCTTTGTGGTTTTTTCACTGAATTTGCTTGGGAAAGCATTGCCAATGTTAAATCAGCCACTTTTTTTGGTCCTGGGAGGCTAAAATTTGTTGTTGCAATTCCGGCAAGCTTTTAATTTATTAATTTTTCGAATACTATGCTCCATAAATGATCTATTGGGACTTTTCCGGGCGTTTGGCGCAAAAAAGCAAAAGGTTAACGCGCTCTCTTGAGGGTGCGGAATCGAACCCGCACCCTCAGACTGTGGCTCATACCGGCGCCTTAGACCACTCGGCCACGCCCCTCCCCCCTCCCCCACGCACGCTCTGAACGCCCGTGGATTGCTAGAAAGTTATAAAAAATGTTTTAAAGTTTGAATCTTCGAAAATTTGGCCTACCTTGGTCATATTTTACCAAAAATTTCAGCCATTTTCGATTGCTATAACTTTCTAGTAATCAAAAACTGCCATAAACACGAAATATACAGCGAATATCACCAACAGAATAGGCGGAAAAGCAAAAACTATGTATTTTCCCATTGCTAAAAGTGCCCCCCGCTAAAGGTCCAGTACCGTCTTTTCACCCCTAGGCGTTCTCACCGAATTCGGTTGAAAGCCCAAAGCCGTTTAATCGGATCCATAGGATTGTGCCCGAATTCCGTAAAATTTTCCAGTTTTCGGAAAATAATCGCCCTTCAGTTCTTTCCAGATGTGAAAACTGGAAATTTCTGTCCAACACCCTGTATCTTTGTGTCATTCTCCCTCTATCTTCGAGCTTCTGCCCCTTGCAATGCACTTTCCGCTTCCAAATAGTCAGCTTCACCCCCACAGCATTCCACAGTCTCGCCAAAAACCCTCTTCCTAGTGATCCCCAGAATCTGTCACAGAATTCAGTTCCGCCCATGTTAAATTGAAATAAAACGCGTTTCAAACTCGAGTAAAACCAAATCACAGCAGATTCAGAAAACCGCATTGCAAAAATGAAATTTCGTCAAATCAAGCTGATTTTGCTACCAGTGCTTGTTGACTTTCTGCAAATTGTTAATTGTTTATTAAACATGGTGACCGCGTGGAACACGCTGAGGGGATTCCAAAAGGCAGAAGCACCAGTTTAAGAAATTCCATTTGTTTGGGGATAATGATAAGATCCATCGGAAACATGAGTAAGGCAGAGAATAACCATTTTAAACAAGTGTACGTAATCAAATTTGGCGGAACAATGGGCACAAGAGATCTGGGTGAGTTTCAAACAGGAGATCATCATCTAACATAAATAACCGGGATAGTAAAAATAGTTGAAGGGAGGGGGGCAAGTGAAACTTTAGTGGAGCTTGGCCCGAACGCGACAGTCGAGCACGTCCATCAACACCGTTTCCCCATGATCGTCGCGTGGATGGCCGCGGACCACGGACTTTGCCGGAAGTAGGTAGAATTTGGAGCAGATGCTCTGAAAAAAGCGCTCCTAATTACCACAAATAAAGACGTTTCTAACACGATAACTTTTGGTAAAACGGTTCGTAGTATTTCCCAAAAAACGCAGTCAATGACGGTCAGGAACAGTAGTAAAAGTATAGCAACGCTTGTTTTCTTTATATTTAAACAACTGGAGCCTAAGGAGAAAGTGTAGTGCCCTGGCAATACTAAAGAACCATAGAAAACCCTGGAATGCCTGTCATGAGCCGTGGGTCGACAAGAGTCCCAACTTGGCCAAGGAAGCAAAAAAAACCAACCGCAAAATGCTGTATAATCTGGTCGTTAGCAGCCTCCCATTCGGCATCAGTGGCCGCCACGAGTCCCGGCACCTTGTCCCCAGAGAAGAGTTGAAACTTCGGGTCCATCCGAGTCTAAAACACGACCTTAGTCACCACTATTTTCGTTACCAAAGCCATATTGTCGATGCGGAGGTAGATGAGACGATCCTGGCTGTTGTCATCATAGAACCAAACGGGCACCAGGATACGGTAGAGCGCCTCGCAAGGGAAGAGCTTGCCTTGTGCTGAACAACATGAGGATAGGCAACGCAATAATTTACTTGCCTTCGAAACAATGTGGGCAGAAGGCGCTTTTTACCGCTTTCCGTGTACCGATCGGGATCTAAAATGGAATAATTTTAACATAAATGGACGGCACTGCGCAACAATGCTAAAAATTACCTGCTCAAAGCATTCCGTACAGCGCAGAGCCCATGAGATCATACGCGCCCGCGCGCGTTCGACGAAAGCAGGAGCGCTGAGCAGATCGGAGGCCGGCAGCAACCAACTAAAGAACAATTTAAATTTTTAAATTGCACGAGCAACGCTACTTGTAGAACCAAACGACGTCGCCAACTTTGGCCGTGATGGCGACCAGGGCCTCTTGGTCCCACGTTGGGTCTTGTGTCAGGTCGGTCAGACGACGCAGATATTCGCGTGCTCGCTGCTCCTTGATCAGGTTGATCAACTGTAACGAAACAATGATCGTCTAAAGTGAGCAAGGTTACCCTGGTCTCTGGGGTGGCGTGGTCGTTCTGGTCGAACAAATTGACCATTGCGCGCTTCGCTTTTTCGAGTGCTGCTCCTTGGGAGGCGAGGGAATCGGGAATCGACTAAACAAAATATTCAAAACCGTTAAGAAACGAACACTGGCGCTGGCCTGCGACTCGGTCAACTGAGCTTGCGTGGATGGTCCGGGCCCAAGGTTGCGCCGTTTTGCCGGAGGCGATCGGGTGGGAACGGCCGGCACCGCAAATGTAGAATCACGCCTGTAAGGAAATTTGGAGTATGGTAGCGAAACTAGGATCAAACCTGGCAGGTGAGTTGGCATTTTGCGTGGCTGGCTGCGGTGTGCTCGACTCCTCAGGTTTCCTAAACAAAGATTCCTACGGCCCGAGACTGATATCCTACACCAAAATGCTCTTCCTAATCGGAGAATTGGTGGTCGACGATTGGACGACTGGCGGCGGAACCGGAGAGGAGGGGCCTTGCTCAGTCGGGGGACGACTTAAAAGAAATATAGTAAAACGCCTGAAATTACCCGCGTGTCCCGGCATCGCTCCAAAGCGGTGTCGTGTTCAAGCGGCTTTCCTGAGACTGGAGTCGTCTACTGAAAATACAACGAAAATACAAGCCTCGAGAACTACAACAAAAAAAGGTTGTGGTCCGCACCTTGGGGAAGCGATTTCCTGCTTGACCAACATAATAGAGGGCTCGGCAACCGACGCATCGAGCGGCTAAACCACAGTTTTAAAAAGAATTGGTTTAAATCCAACCTGAACAGGAGGTGGTTGCTCGGCGGGTGCGTTATCGCCATCGGCAGTTTCCATCGTCTCATCAGGCTGCGTCTCGAAAGCCTGCATCTGAAAAATAAAAATTTACATGGTCAAGGGAACCCCACCGAAGCGAATGGAACGCTGACAAGAATAGGGCCCTACCATGACCGTGTCGCCTTGCCCATCCGGGTCTGACATCATGCTGTCGTGAGGAGCAGAACGGCCCTCCACCATGAATGGGGCGCACAGTTGCAGGCAACGCCGTTGCACCTCGCAGGCGACAGGGTGTGCTTCGGGACATTCTATCTCGAGAATCTTCGATGATGTGCCTCCTCTAGACCTCGGCGTCATTGGAAGTCGCAGATAGGCAGCTGGAAAGAAGCCATGGAAGCCATATGATCCAACCGATATAACGAAACTACATTATGCTGAAAGCAATAGCACCGAAATCCCAACATGCCGAAGTCCATACGCATAATCATTTTCCTTACCAGCGCCCAAAACCCGCTTCGCGGGCCTTGGGCGCTGGAATGGTGCGTTTGCATGAGAAATTTTACTTTCCGGTAGCTCGGGTCCTTCGGACCCCCCACCACACGCTCGCGTGCAACTCGCAAGAATGAGGAAATTTGTATTTTTCCACATTATGCAAATTACCCCCAAAAATGAATAAAACCGGCTTTAACTTTGTAAACTTGTATTTTATCGAAATTCTGAGGACGCCATCGGAAACAGAAGGGTCGATTCCCCCAAGTGACGAAGAATTAAGACATTTTATGCACGGGAAGGCCCTCAAATCGGGCCTCGAAAGTGACATCCACACACACACACACAGTTACACGCCAAAATTATATAAGGTAGGATATCGAAAGGTTTGGCCGGTTCTTTGAAACTGTCATAGAACAGTAATTGGTTAATGGGCTACGGTTTACTTTACCCCCCCAGCCGAACGGTTTTCGCTATAACTTTTTTATTTTACATTATTGTAGGCTCAAATTAAAACTCTTAGTATATTTTTCGACGCTCTATCGAATGGCGTTGCGAAAATCCCGACAAAATAAGCGAAAATACCGACAACTTTGAGACCCTTCGGCTGTGGGGGGGTAAAGTAAACTCTTACCGGTTAATGACCATTCAAATAGCTGTGCCCTGGATTTCGGCGTCTAGGATTTCGAGGCTTGAAATCTTTTCTACGGGTTTCTGTGCAGCCTCCGGTCCCGCAAACGCACTTACAATCGGTCGACTGCGTGTAGCGGTAGTCGACGTTGTGCAGCTCGATGAAGGATCCAGCCTACAATCGCGGTCATCAAACAGCAAAACCCAATACCTGTATGTATTTGAGGTCCTTGGCGTATTCGTAGAGAAACACATCAACACACCGTCCACGTGACGCCTCGAGTACATGCTCAGGGGCCCAGCCCTAAACAATATTCATCGTAAAAAATGCAATGAGCCACCTTTTCCTCTAAAATCTCATCGTCCTTGACCAGGCTGAGCCTCAGGTCCATGCGGCGCGCCATACGAAGCATTTCATTGCTGCAACAGATCTTACATCAAAGGCCTGCAGCACAAAAATTTTGGTACAAAGTCATGCTCAGGGTCTTTCGCATTATCGGAGGGGGATCCAAAAATGCCTAGTAACGTAATAGTAAGCGTCTTAAGTGCGTTTGCAAATTTTACTAAATTTTAAGTGGAAAAAAATAATTTTTTTAGCTGACATTTTGGTCGAAAAGCGGCCATTTTAGTTAGAAAAATATTATTTTTCGTATTTTTCATCAAAATTTCTACAATTTTTACTTTAAAAATAGTAAAAAGTAAAAACGGCGTAGAGATTGCCTGCTCCCAACAATGCGAAAGAACTTATGTTCTTCATTTTCGAAGAATCTCGAATAAACCAACTGAAGCTCGGTTCCATCCCAGCATCGCAACACCGAAGATTGACGCTCCGTGATGAAGGTGCCAACAACCTGGACTACCAAATTCGCAAATTTGAATGGGGCGAATCGATTGAGGGTTATCTAAACGAAACTCAAAATTGTTAATGAAAACTTACAAAGTTACTAGCAACGGGCGCTGGCAATTCGGCATGGCTAGATGACAATTTCTTGCGATATTCGACCAGAGTCTCGAACTAAATGAAGATCAATTAGACCTTTATATGCAACTTTGTTACCATTTGGCGATCCGCCTCCACGATTGTTGGATGCTCAAAGTTCGAATAGGTCCATTTATTAAGATCATCGGCATCGCTGGCGTAGATCAGCACGGATCCATTGCAATTTGTGCTTCGGAGCGAGAGCAGGTTCTCAACGTTACGAGTGATCTAGAAGGAACCCAGTTGCTGCAAACACCATGAAAAGCTCACGGCGGCACGATGTAGCCGGATGATTGCCCAGGGAACAATATGCGCCTCGATATTCTGAGCATCCGGCAGTTCCTTCGCATTCTGTCCCACACATAACTCGAGCGAGCAGCCACCAGCGGTATTGTCCAAAATTCGGCAGACAACTCTTCCTAAAAAAGGTTTATATCTTATCTTCCTCCATCCAAGGTCTTTACCGAAATCAAAAAGCCGTTTACCTGGAACTGCCGGTCCGGTCTTTCCGTTGCGCGGCTCCTTTCTCTCAACGATTGCCCAGACGTTCAACTGAAAAAGCTTTTTAATGTAAATTAAGAACACTCACAAGTGCTTTCTCCCCGACCGTCGGGAGATCTGCGATTTTTGTGTACTTTATGAGACGTGGAGTCATCTAAAATACAACGTTAGATAGGAACCGCGCTGAAAACAGCGAAATGATGAGAATAATCTCTAAATGACACATTTTATCAGTATGGCTTGCTTTACAATTATAATTTTAGTGGGACCGGGTAATTCAAACGCATTTATATGTCGTGATCGACTCGGACGCGCTATAGCGCGGCTTGGATGGTGAAAGGGCAAATGGTGAAAAACACCATCCCCAGTTCAAGCCCCCGCGGTAATAAAAAAACGAGATGTTGGAAACCACCAAAAGTCGAAATTCGGAATGCCCGCTGCTCCGTGGCGCTACATTTACGGATTTTGTATGTACGGTGTTCAGAGGAATTCCGGAAATCGGAAAACAATAAAAAAATACTTTGAGAGCTTGACAATAAAGAAATTAGAAATATGCAAGAAATTACCCTTCAATAACTGGCCTTACCGATGGCCTCAGATACCTTCCATAGCCAAAATACCGTTCAAAAACCACGAAGATACCTTAATGATGGCTTTAGATACCTGCCATAACCGAACCTTCAAAAACTACTAAAATCATCGCTGTTCATCACCAAATGATGAATTAGTTCTTCTCCCCTCGCCATTAGCGGAAGCCGCCGGCCGTTCATATTATTTGCTTATGTAACAGGTGCCCGGCCGCCAATTCCCGGACTCGCTTCGATCCATTCAGGGTTTCCGAAATGCTTTTGCTGCCTTTCGAGTATGTTGTTGTTGTGGATGGCAAAGATCTTTGGATGGAGCCTACCCAACCCCAGTATTTGTTCAAATCATTTGACCAACCAACCGGTGGCCATCTATTTGTCTATCTATCGGATCCAATGGGGTTGAGGCGGTTACTTCCAGTTGGTTGGCCCAACTTGGCTGGTTTTGGTGGTCCTCCGAAGGACTTACGTATACTTAGTAGGGAAATAGTTCGCTTCTGAACTCTGTTTTAGCGGGGGCACTAAGCTTTGTTTTTTTTCAGCCTAGATCGAGCTGTTAATAATATAAAATATATTTTTATTGTGGTTTTAGTAGTTTTTTGATTACTACAAAATTTATAAAACAATGTTTTTCTTATTTAAAAACACGACAATTTTGACCTTTGTTGGTTTCATACATTTTTGACTAAAAAGCCAAAAATTTTGGCACATTTTTGTAATCATTTTTAGATCTAAAACAGACTGAAATACTATAAAAATGGTTTATATTTCGTATCGGGCCGTACGGGATTACTTGGAAAATTCTGTTTCCTCCTGCTAACTCCCCCCTACTAACAGTCCAGTACCTTTTAACTGTAGCGAGGCCTTGCTCCATCCATCTGAATGTTCCAAGTCTGACTGCAGCCCACGACGCTCCCAGGCTTCCAGTCAATCGTTTCATTGTGCGGGCCATTACGGGCACGAGGGCCAGCTGTTGGATGGAAGTGCCGATGACCCTCGTCTTACACATCGATTCGCCGGCTGCGGATAGCGAATCTAAGCACCACGTGTTTGGCAACACTGCCTATTTTTAGCCGCCATTGCCGTATCATATTCCTGATCTTCTAAATGTCTAGCCTGCCTTTTCACTCAACGGCTCTTTGCCCGGGCCGGCGAATTTAATTTCCGGCAGCCTGTCTCTTTTTTATATATTTAACTACATGTATCGCACAGTATTTCGGATTACTTCCTCATCTCCCTGCAATAAGATAGTAAACATTTGGCGACGCACGCAGGGATGACCCTGAACCTTTCAGCCCCATAAATTTCCCGGTTTTCGGTTCCTTTGCCCCCATGCGCCCCGGACATCCTGTGACTGCATTTTTTCAAAGGCGCCCAGAGTTCGGCTGTTTCGTGTCGCTATTACTAGTTGATGGACTTACGGCTCTTTTGCATTATCGGGGGGGCGGGTGCGGACCAATATTTTGTCCTAGGCTCCAGTTTTTCAAATATAAAAAGCGGAAGTTTTTCTAAACTGTTTTTTTATTATTCCGAAACGTAAAAACTTTACAATTTTTATTAATAAATACTAAAAGTATCGATTTTTCGAGCAACAATGGCCGTTTTTTGGCCAACATTCAGACGTATGAAATTTTTGGAAAGTTCTTAAATGTTTTTTTTTAGTTGAAACACAGTTATCTTGGCTAAAAAGAATTAATATATTCGTACCCCCCGATAATGCGAAAGAACCCTTTTTACTTTTCAAATCCTCTTTTAATTGAGACCTTCCTTTCTTATTCTTTCCAACATTTCAGCTCCAAAATGACTGATGCTATCCTGATCAAAGGAGGCACCGTGGTCAACGATGACGAGATGGTGAAGGCCGACGTTCTGGTTCAGGATGGAAAAATCGTAGCCGTAGGCCCGGATCTCCATTGTGAAGGGGCCACCCTCGTCGATGCTGCCGGCCGTCTGGTCATCCCCGGTGGCATCGATCCGCACACCCATATGCAGGTACGTCAAAATTTTGCCTAGCATTCGAATGCTTTCAGTTACCGTTCATGGGTGAAATCGCAGTGGATGACTTCTACTCGGGCACGCGAGCCGCTCTGGCCGGCGGGACGACGATGATCATCGACTTTGTCATCCCGGCCAAGGATTCGACACCGCTGAAAGCCTACAAACAATGGCGTGATTGGGCCGATCCAAAGGTAAGGTCACAATTTGATTTAAAAAAACGGTACTATAGTGTTAGCGGGGATGGCAGTCATATTTCCAAGTAATGCTGTACGGCTCTATAGCGAAATAGAGCCGCTTTTTATTGCATTTTATAAAGTTGTTTGGCAGAATAAGATTATTAACAGAAATTTCGAAATTTCTGGACTTTTTTGTCGAATATGTATGAAAATGACCACAAAGGGTAAAAATTTCGTATTTTCAAGATTTGTAAGTTTTTGAAGGCAAAAACTACTAGTAATACCATAGAAATACATTCTACAGGGTGTCCCAAAAAAAACGAACCATCTGGCATTTCGCCGTGTTACATGCAATCGGCTCAAAATTTGGACCAGAGGTGTATCAGACCCTAAATAACAACAATCCTGACTTATAGCCCCGTAGCTATCGTCGTTCTCGAGTTATAACGAAAATACTGTTTTTCATGCAATTTTAAACAGTTTTTTCGGCTATCTTTTTGGACTTTGCATCGATTTGCATCGATTTCCCGCTACGAATCCCTAATTTCGCTTAACAACTGGGCAATTTTGCGTTGTAAAAATCGCTTAAATCGAAGCTTATTTAATTAATTTTACACTGGAAAAAATTTCTTAAGGTAAAGAAGGCCTTCCGGATCATTTTCACTTAATATTAAAGGGGTCTAATTCCACGAAAACCCTATGAAAAATACAAAATAAAGTTTGTTTTTGCCATAACTCGAGAACTACTGTAGCTACAGAGCTATAATTCAGGATTGTTGTTATTTAGGGTCTGATACACCTCTGGTCCGAATTTGGGACCGATTGGATGTAACACGGCAAAATGCCAGATGGTTCGTTTTTTTTGGGACACCCTGTATATAATCGATAGGCAGGTAAAGACGGTGAAAACAACAAATATTAGTTTCTCCTGCGAAAAGCCCCCCCCCGCTAGAAGCCCAGTACCAAAAAACCGCTCCTAGGTCTGTTGCGACTATGCCCTGTCGATGGCCATCACCACCTGGAATGACTCGGTCTCCAAGGAAATGGCGGAAGTCACCAAGCCGGAATACGGTAGTTTACTAGACTATACTCCCTTAATAATTCGTTAGGCATCAACTCGTTCAAATTCTTCCTCGCCTACAAGGGAGTTTTTATGGTGCACGACGACGAATTCTACCAAGGGATGCTACAGTGTGCCAAGGTAGGCAAAAAAAGAACAAAGAAAAAAACCCGTCCAGATCGGCGGTATGGCTCGTGTCCACGCCGAGAACGGGCCCGTGATTGCGGAGAAGGCTAAAGAACTGCTGAGCCTCGGAGTTACTGGCCCTGAGGGGCACACCCAAAGTCGCCCCGAAGAGCTCGAGGCCGAAGCGACGAATCGCGCTTGTGTGCTCGCCTCGCAAGCCAATTGCCCACTCTACGTGGTGCATGTGATGAGCAAGGGGGCTGCACGCGCAATTGCCCATCATCGACAGCGAGGTTGGATCAGACAATTTTTTTTTGATGAAAACGATATTCAGGAGCCGTCGTCTTTGGTGAGCCGATCGCCGCTGGATTGGGCACCGACGGCTCGCACTATTATTCTGACGACTGGCTTCATGCTGCCCGACACGTTATGAGCCCGCCGCTTAGCCGAGACCCGAGCACGCCTGAAGCCTTGATGCGCCTGTTGGCTTGGTGAGTGGAAGAAGCAGAGCCTCGGAAATTTTTAGTATGGTCAAAACTAATTTCTTTCCGACGGTCAATAGCAAAAAAAATGTATTTTTATAGCGTTTATAGCGTTTTGCGTTTTTTTTGGTTGCTAGAAATTTGCAAAAAAATATTTTAGGGTTTTTCAAAATTTGGAAGTTTTTTTTATGAGCTTTTCACATCTGAAAAACTGTCAATAATAAAAGAATGGTTTTGATTGTGTTATAGGATCGTGCATAATTATTGAGAAGAAGTAGTTTCCCCCTGCTAACAGCCTTTTTGACCCTTGCCTTTGGAAAAAAATATAATTGGCGAGTATAACGGTAAATATATTTAGCGGTGAGCTCCACCTGGTCGGAACCGATAACTGCACCTTCAACTGCCAACAGAAATTAGCCGGGAAAGACGATTTTACAAAGGTAGGAGACACTGCAAGGCAAAATATTTCCACTTCTGCAGATTCCAAACGGAGTAAACGGGGTCGAAGACCGGATGGCTATCGTTTGGGAGCGTGGCGTCCACCGGGGTATCATGGATCCGATGCGTTTCGTGGCTGTGACTAGGTGGGTTAAAGATATCGATATTCTACTTTTCGAATTTTCAGCTCTCAATGCGCCAAGATCTTCAACATGTACCCGCGAAAGGGCAGAATCGCCGTCGGTTCCGATGCGGACATTGTTATTTGGAACCCTGACGCGACCAAGATCATCTCAAAGGTAGGTGGAAACAGATAAGCTTTAAATTTTCACAAAAAAAAAATGGAAAAAATGTTAAAAAATAGGACACCCATCATCAAGCCGTCGACTACAACATTTTCGAGGGCCAAACGGTGCATGGGGTAGCGGAAGTCACGATCTCTCGCGGCAAGGCAAGTCAAAATATCGGTACACTACATCCGATTGAATTTATAGATTGTTTGGCAAGATCAGCGCCTCTCCGTCGAGGCCGGGGCGGGCAAGTTCGTGTCGCTGCCCCCGTACTGTCCGTATGTATTCGCAGCTTGCCAGCAGCGTGAAAAGGTGATTATTGCAATGTAAACGACCGTTGGCACATTACGCCATAAAACGTTGGAATTTCAGGTCATCCAACCCCGCTCTGTCAAGCGAGAGCCGATTGCCGAAATTGAATCGCTCAAGATCACCGACAAGCAGCAGACCACGAAATCGAAAGTCCCACCCGGCGGCGGCTCCCAGATTAGCTTTGCCTAAAAAGTATACGCAGGCTACTGAACAGTAGGTATCAATCTTTGACAGAGAATTTATGCCTTCACAAAAAGTGATAAATTATTGCTCACACTGTGTGAACAAAAGATTGCATTCTATGTACAGGGTGGTGGGCGAGAGATGATGCGGAAATGGCACAATCATAGGTGACAAGACAGAAAAACGGAAACTGAGACACGCGCAATATGTACGGGAATTCCAAGGGCGACCGGGTATTCAAGTAGATTATGAGAGATGTGGCAACGTCGAGATATTCACAGTGCCTTGTAGGCGACGAACAGTAGCACAAACATGAGGAACACAGCAACGCCAAGCACGAGCAGCCGATTTTGGATCACCCTGAAAAGGGAGAGATTCTCGGGGGTCAGCTTGCAGATCGGTTGTTGTCAGGGGGATCCAGAACGTTGTTGAAACTGGATAAGATGTTTAACAGGCATTTTTGAGCAACAGCCAAATTCATCAAATTTTAATTTTCCAGTTTTTTTTGACATTTCAAATTTTCCAATTCCAAAAACCAGCAAAAGCACCCACAATTAAATCTTTACGTATTCTAAGTGTAAAATAATGCTCTCACCTTCTGATCATGATATTGAGCAGCCGCGAGCTTCTACCCAAGTCGGAATCAGCTTCACGTAGGCGATCGCGCGATCTACCGATCGATTCGCGCTGCGTCGAGAGGTTGTTGAGGACATCGTTGCCAATCTAACACAACTCTATAAAGGTCCTGTCCGACTGCGATACCTCTTCGGTCTCGACGACCATCCTATAGGCGTCCTGGATCTTGCGTCCCGTCCGCTCCAATCGTTGGGTGTTGGCGATCAGCTGATCTTCCTGCGCATCGACTGTAGCGCCTTCCTCCATCGCGAAAAGCTCGTTACGATCGGCACTTTCGCGCGCGCGCTGCACCTAGAAAAATAATTTTGTTATCCACACACAATTCTCGGAGCACTTTTTAATCTCTAAAAGGCCCACCACTCGATCCAATTCGGTGTCCAATTGCTTCTTGTCCTGTTTGTAACTACGCACCCTCATCTCGAACTTTGAGCGTTCGGAACTAAAACAAGGCTTGCACCATCGAAAAAACAGTCAAACCTTCCGGCTGGCAAATCGCGCACAGCCAATTCCATCTGCTCCAAAAGTTCGGTGACCTGAAGATACACCATAAAAAAACTAATTTACAAAAGCGTACCTGGGCCAGTAATTTCTTGGCATCTCTAGCAATATTCGGCCTTTCACTTGCCTCAGCGCGCTGAAGCTTGGCGATACTGGCAGTCACCTAAAAGAACATTCCCATTAGGTTTTTGCAAATTTGCAAACCTCGGCTGTTTGGATGGAATACTGCTGCTCATATTCGGCAAGGTGCGAGACATCAAGTGACATCTAAAACCCCCCAATTCAGTGAACGTTTAAAGGCACCAAGGAACTGTATAAAAGATTTACAAGAAACTCGCGGTTGTGAAATGTCTTTGATATGCGGTGGCGAAATACCTTCAGGAAAGTTCATAAAAATCTACACAAAAGATTTATTCCAGCCTAATACACTACAATCTAGACTAAAACGAGAACTACAAAACGAAGAAACAAACAAAACAATATACCGGCATGGGAAAGATCATATGAGCAGAGAGTAAACAGAAATCAGAAAAATTAGCCTCGATAGTGGGCAAAGGCACGGTTCGCTTCGCAGAGCTTGTGCAATTCCTGCTTCACTTGGATCGTCGCACCCTCATTGTTATAGGCCGACAGGAATTCGTTGGCTAGGTAGTCCTGAAAAAAAATATTTGAATGGGGGAGACATAACGGCACTGAACTGTCAGTAGAGGGAAACAACATTTTCCGCAGTAACGCTGTAAACTAAATTTACACCATTTTTAAAGCGCAAGCAATAGATACAAAACGCCCGCAAAATTATAAAAAATTTGCAAATGTTTCACTGTTTGGCTCAAAACGGGAAAAACTTCAAAAAATGAAGATTTTTATAATTTTACAGTAATCAAGAACCAGAAAAAAATACAAAATTATTGGCAGGTTTAGGCGGAACAACAGAACTTAGTTTCCCCCAGCCAACCGTCCAATACCCACATAATTTAAACCGGAATCCGCTCTTGAAAATCACCTTAAAATGCAGCACTTCAGAATGTTTTGACTTCCCGCGGCACACATCGCGCATCATCTTCATTGCCCGAAATTCCGCCTCGTCCTCTTCGATCGGGAAGGGCACTTGATAAGTTGTTCCACCTAAAAGCGGTATTCGACGAAAATACATAAAATCTACCGCCTTTGAAAACGCCATCCAATATTCCAAAATCACCAAACCTCGGGTAACCGGCATTAGCTTCATCAAAGGGCGACAATTCCGGATTGCTGCTTCCGCCACCTTGAAAGGATCTCGCTCCACGTTAGCCTAAATAGAGGTAAAAACGAATGAACACGGGTCTACCTTTTCCTCGGGTGTCGGCGCATCAACCCACGCCTTATATTGCTTGCGTTTGACCTGGGAATGATGAAACTGAAGAAAACGGGAGACCTACAATCTCCAAGGCAGAAAGAACATTATGCCTGGACGTCTCCTTTTGTCCATCCTTCATGCAAACTCGCGTCAACTTGTCGACAACATGGTTTCTGAAGCCTGTTGCGAAAGAGCGAAAGTTTAATACCTGTAAAAGACGGGCGTGTCATCGCTTTCCATCGCCTTGATGTAAAGGAAGTTGCGCTCATCTTCGGCAGATAGTGGCTCATTTATCTAATTCAACGGTTAGAAAGAAAGCCGTATTATACCTCTTCTAAAGCCACGAGTGGATCCCGGAAAACCTTTGCGTCGTATCGTGAGCCAGCTGTGGCCGTGCTGCAGATACCTCGTTCTGCCACCCGACCTATTGATGTGACGACCCTTCGGAGAGCTAGCCGCATCTGCAAGCACCACTTTTATAGGAATCATAACATCTAAAAGCTCCACTTCAAAGCAAGAATTTTTTCACTTCAAGAAAAATCTGCCAGCCACGTTTGTTGTCTGGGCACGCTTTCCCCGAGTATTTAGTACTGGTCCGTAGCTATAGTCATTCATTTCTGCAGTTTTTAGCAAAATCAGACAAAAACAATGTGAAATATCTTCTTATCTGCTCCAAAGTTCGTAAATACTTTAAAATTTTTTTCAGGTATGTCGGAAAACAGCATGGACTCGGTGGAGAGCGAACTGGGCACCGGGTTACAGGTATTATGAGGCTTATTTTGCTAATTGATTGATTACCCTTTTAGTCGGCCAGCCAGCCCTTGTTCGTCGCCCCTCAGAACCCGGTCGCCGATTCGAAGGCGTGTTTGGAGCGCGTTCGCCAACTAAAACGAAAGGTGATTCATGAATTGTGTTATATAATGGCTCGCTTCTAGGCAAACGAACTGATCGGCGACCTCAATCAGATCACGAAAATCCAGGAAACCGAGTTGTTGCAGAAAAAGTAGGGATTTTTTTTGAGTACCCTATTATTTATTTTAGAAAACGACGAAGTGCTGTATATTTGGACGGGTACAAGCGCCGCCTGGACACGTTTCAGGTCGGTTTCAAGTGAACTTTATAATTTTGAAATCTTTAGAGCCTCAACTGGAAATTTGTGCCAGAATTGCCAGCTCGTGAATTGGCTGAAAAAGGATGGCAGATGAAAGGTATCCAGTATCGAAAAGTAGATCCTTATTTTTCAGGTCCTGAATCGGTGGAGTGCCCCAGCTGCTCTCGCTTTGTTTCCGTTGTTTTACCGAATATAGTCGAGGTCCCGATTACGGTGTACAATGCATGTATTAGGTAATTTTTGTAATAAAAGTCGAAGTTCTTCTTTCAGTCATGTCCGCGAGAAATTGACAACCGCCCATGAGAATACATGTCTTTTCCGCTCGCCTCCAGTGGATTACTTCCCGGAGTTGAGGTATGGCAGTCGGATTTTGGTTGATCTCGATGTCTAGGAATTCCCCAAAAAACCTGAAGAAATTTTATCAAATGTCTCTTGATGCACTGCGACGGGTCGATTTTGGCGAGGCTGCGGTAAGGAAGATTATACCTTTCGCTAACCCATTTCCAGGGTCATTTTGACGAGTTGGATCCATTCATACGGGCAATCTTCGGGGAATTGCGGCCAAACGAGTTGCTACCGGCCGCGTATGCACTTTTGCACTGGCGCCCGAAAAGCGGGACTTTGACTAGGTGAGAATGATTTTATGTTTTTAATTTTATTTTTCAACATTAAGATTGGAATGCGAGCTATGCGCCAGGGACCTTACACCAAAAATCCTGCCCGACTTTTCGCACCCGTCATCCCAGCATTACGCTTGTTGCCCTCTACTCGATAAGGGTGAAGATGGTGATACGCCTGTCTGGAAGGAAATGGCGCAGCTCTGTGTGAAACCAGCTGAGGTAGTTGGTTTAAGCTCGATGCTCAGTAATTTAGTTGGAATTTTGATGTGTCATCTTACTCATCCATTTTAGGGAAAGGTCATCGCCGATCTCTACCGCGTCGAGACGAAGATGTCGAAATCCCTCTCCAATTCTTCGCTGAACAACATCTGATAGCATCGTAACATATCCTACCCGATCCTTTTTATCACCCCAACTTGTCTTTTCGTGCTTTCCATTCGCTAGTACTTCAATAACGAGTATAAAGAGTTTTGCTATCTCGTCCCCGAGCCTCCGAAAGCGTTTTGGCGTAGTTTACCGTTAAATAGGCGTGCTTCAGGGATCATTCTTGAGGTTTAGAGTCCAAAATGAACCGGCGTGAACGGCCCGAGCACGTCTTACCCCCTGATTTGGTATTGCTTATTGGCATTCTTGAAATTCTGAAAATTTAGTACTACAATGAAGACGAGGCCGCGAAGTATACCGCAAAGTTGGTTGCTTTTTCGTGGCCAATGCGTTTTACAGTTCCCACATCATCTCGATCCAAACCGACATGTCTGAACGAGCATTGGAGCTTTTGGCGCTGCCGGCCGAGAAACAGTGCATGTTACTGGATCTGGGTAAAACGAGCCATACCTTTCCAACATTATTTTTAGGTTGTGGTTCCGGAATCAGCGGCTGTGTGCTATCAAATGCTGGACATACTTGGATCGGATTGGATATCAGCAAACCTATGCTTAGTAAGTTGTTGAAATTTTTCTGTGCTCATCCTAGTAGATGAGATGCTACCCTAAATCCTTCAACTAATTATTTTGCTTAGTGCTCTGTCGTGAGGATGAGGATTTCGATGGAGATGTCATCCACAAGGACATGGGAACCGGTCTCCCGTTCCGGCCCGGCGCATTTGACGGCTGCATCTCGATTTCTGCGCTGCAATGGCTTTGTCACGCCAATTCATCCGATCAGAAGCCAGCCAAACGACTATCCCGTTTCTTCCAGTCGTTGTATGGATGTCTGGTAAGTTTTTTAGAGGAAGGAGAAGAATTATCAATGTGCTGAACTTTCGTTATTGACGTGTACTTTCAGGGCCGAGGCACCCGAGCCGTTTTTCAATTTTACCCGGAAGATGATCGGCAAACGGAAATGATTATGAGCTTGGTAGGCTTTAATTCGAGGATCCTAACTTTCAAATTTAGGCACAAAAAGCCGGATTCGATGGTGGCCTTGTTGTTGATTTCCCGCATAGCTCAAAAGCCAAAAAGTAACCCGTTTCTCGGTTCAAAAACTCGTTGTTTTAGGGTCTATCTAGTGCTCATGACGGGCGGCATGCAAGCCATGCCCAAGGCATTGACAGGAGACGAAGAAGTTGATCAAGTCAATCGCCAACAGGTGGATGTGGTTGGCAGGCGGTAAGGTTAAATTAGCGCCTTTTGAATTTTCTGTTTAGGGAATTCGTTGTGCACCGGAAGAAGAAAAGGGCGGCAAAGGGGAGCAAAGCCTGGATACAGAAGAAAGTGGAGACGGCAAAGAAGCACGGAAAGTAAGATTATTGCCACTTTCACCCAGAAAGCTATTTTATAGCAATTTCACCGATTCGAAGTTCAGCGGGAGAAAGCGTAAACCGAGATTCTGACCTTCGGAACACTCAAGTTATTTAGCGTTGTTGATTTTTCGGATTGCATGGTTGTTGTTTTCAGGAATAAAGTTTGCAAATGAACTTTGGGCCAGTATCTGATTGGATAGGAAGCGAAGGACAAGGCAGGGGGATTAGTTTTCAGGGCCGATCACTTTGGATAGACAGAGTAATAACTATTTCCGGGTTCCAAGCGAACTCTTTCTTTGTTATCACATGCAGGGCCCACAAGCTGATTTGTCGGCGGTGATAAGGGAGGTCGACGGACTTCTCAACGCGCCGTAAATTTATATAGTTATTCAAAACATTGGCTGTTGTTGACATGTCTAATTCGACGACGATCGCGTCAGAAAAGTTGAAAAAGGTTTATTTTTCAAGATGTTATGCTGACATTTTTACCTTTAAAAATCCCCTTTCAGCCAAAGACTTGCGTCGACAAAAACTTTCATGCACTCGTGATTATCGTGGTCGTAAATCTTTCTAATATTCTGTTGGTAGTGGTGAAAGGTAGACGGATATTTTCAGTGACTAAACAATCTCCAGGTGCTGTCGCCTATTCCACCGGTTCTTTTTCGATTGGGCATTCGACGATTGAATCGTTTGGTGATGTGTTTGTCGGAGCGCTGATCCTTGTTTCCAGATTACAGGTTTACCATTAATTTTGTAAAATTTGGGAGAGTCTAATATCTGATGATTATTTTCGGCATTTTTGGTTTTTTTTTGCATTATCGAGGGGAGACAACTTTTAAAATATTCGATTTTTCTAATAGAACAAACGGAATTGTTTCTAAACACGTTTATACGATTTTTAAACGTAAAAACTTTACGGGCGTGTTTTTAGCCCTCAAACACAACGAGTCACCAACGGGCAACACCTGTTTACACTTCGTAATAGATTTCCCAAACCCAATTAATTGTAACTAAAAAACTTCTAAGGGTTATTTTTTATTATAATAAACGAAAAACATAGTTCTAGAACTGATTTGGTAATGATACTTCCGCTACTGACGTGAAATTTCTATCATTTTGCGTGATTCGACCACCTTCACCAATTTTACGGATAGCAAAAAGGAACGAGGGAGGAGGCAACAAAAGTAACGAATATTAATATATGTTCTAATGCGAAAAAGCTTCTTTTATAGTCACCAAGAGATTCTATTTAATTTTTGCTAGTATTTACGGTTGGTAAACCCTCGTACATCCAATGCTCGCGAATCTTTTGCGAATTACCCAAATACCTCATTATGAAGGATAGATAGGAAAATAGATAGAAGAGTCTGGATATGTCGAACTGGTGGAGCAACGGTAGCCGAAGAAACAAAATCAGATAACCACTTTACAATGGCCCTATCATTAACAGTGTTTTGCGCATGCTCGAGTGCCACATCATTTTTAAACTCCCGACGACGCTCGGCTTTTTGCACAGCATCAATCAGCAAAGTGCATAGCTTCCAGAAGATTTACTTACAACATCTGGCGGCTCTCTTTTGAAAGTCCTTCATCATGATTATACGATCCTTATTCGTCACTCCTGAGCAACGGATCAGCAAAATGGTCTTTGCGCCGGAAACCCGCAAAATATACTCGTTTCACGTCAGTATATTTTCCAGAACTTGCTTCTTTCGTTTCTACTATCTTAATAACTCCCACTTAGAGTCTCTAAGTTTTTAGTTACAATTAATTGGGTTTGGGAAATCGATTACGGAGTGTAAACAGGTGTTGCCCGTTGGTGACTCGTTGTGTTTGAGGGCTAAAAACACGCCCGTAAAAACTTTACAAATTTGATTAAAAAAAGACCGATTTTCGACCAAAAATTCGTCTAAAATGTAGTCTCATTTTTTATTGTTTTTCACTTAAGATATAGTTAAATTTTGCTAAAAACACGACTGAAATACCTACTATTACGTTACTAGACATTTCTGGACTTAGGAAAACAAGCGGAATCCCTCCCCCCGATAATGCGAAAGAACCACATTTTTGACCTTACTCGTATTTAGAAGAAAGGCTCCTGCTTCCGGAAACAGAAATTTCCCCGCGGACGGGCAAGCGAAAGCCTGACAAATGTAATTTTATTAGATTTAGCTCTAACGATTCATTAGGTAATTGCTTCAGTGGTGATGTTGGTGCTCGCCTGTTTCAATGGGCTCATCTCGTTCGACAACTTTTTCGGCAAGTCGGCCCGCGAAAGGAAGAAAAGAACCTGTCGCGAATTTAGAAAATCGTTTCGATCCGCGACTAGAGAAGGAACACCTCTTTGTCATCGCCGCCAACATCTTGTTGAAGCTTTTCCTGTACCTGATTTGCTTGTGGTGGGTTAGGCCATCGTTCTTTAGCTCTTTTTAGGCGGAACGACGTGGAGCAGATTAAAGTGCTGTCGAAAGATCAGAAAACGGACATTCTGACGAATTCTACGGCCCTAGTCTTTGCGCTATTGACGGCGTACGTTAACCAGGTAAAGCTTTTTATCAGTTGCATTGCACAAATCCAGATTTACGACATATTCGGCGCGGTCATCATCTTCGTGTTGATCATCTACAATTGGCTGCCGATTTTGCTGGTGAATTCGAACAAAATCCAGGGCATCCAGGCTTCGGACTGGAGGGTGGCCGCTGTGAAAGAGGTGGAATGAGAAAATAGCATAAAAATGATAAAAAATTAGGCTCTTGGTCAAGTTGACGGTTGTGAAATACTGGATTTTCTGTTATATCACGCTGGAGAAGGGTGCGTGGCTGAGGTTCGTTCATAGTATTTGTATAAAAAAGGTTAAATTTCAGGTTCGTTGTGCAAAAAAGGGTGCTACAGATATTCGAGGAGCCATTACTGCCAAGCTGGTAGAAATTGACTGGATTAGGGCGGTTTTTGTGGAGATCGAAGATGAGAAAAACGTGAGTTTGCGTGATTGCACCTTTTAATAGAGAAATTTATATTGTTTTGGTGCTTTCGCATTATCGGGGAAGGGGGGATGCGAATTTTTCCTACTCGTCCAGAAATTCCTAGTAACTTCATAGTAGTATTTTAATAGTATTTTTAGTAAAATTTAACTATATTTCAGGTGGGAAAACAATAAGAAAGGTGAATTTTGGAATTTTGGTCGAAAATCGGTCATTTTTGGTGGAAAAAGGCGATATTTTTAGATTTTTTAACGAAAATCGTAAAGTTTTTATGTTTAGAAATCGTAAAAACTATTTAGAAAAACTTTAGCTAATTTTAGTTAGAAAAATGCGCCATTTTTTGGGCTTAATTTGTTTTTTCTCGGCAAACAACACAACTGCCGATGATGCAACGACGGCAATCGGGTACATCGACGACACGGGAAAGTTGTTGGGCGAGGCCGAGGATATGGTGTGAATTTTGGCGAATAAAGCTGGTCACACAATTCGAAATGAGCCTTCAAAAACAATCAACGACACTACGGGATCGAGGGGTGGGGGGAATGGACAATATTCGATAGAGCCGCGGTGGGAGAGTTCGGCTCCCCGGATCCCCGTTTTATTATCGATAACAGCCATGTAAATGGGGTTGACTAATTCAAGGAAAAGCTGTAAATCAAATTTTAGAACGTTTTCTGCATTTTGTAAAAATGGTTTTTATACTTGAAATATAGCTACATTTTTTTCCAGATCCTGTACGATCCTATAAAGAAATCAAAACCGTTTTTATAGCATTTCACATAGTTTTTAGACATAAAAAGCTCCTAAAATCAACTATAATAATTTTGTTGACGCGTCCGTCCGTCTGTCTGTCCGTGTGAAGCCGAATTCAACTCGAAGGGGAAAGGAGCTAGAGCTTAGCTCTCTTCGGATTCGGATAGAGCGCCGTCAGAAACCCCCAAACTGATAAAAAATTTATGAGAAACTTTTAGTTTAAATTATTAAAATTAACTTTGAAAGTTTTTCCTTAGTAAAAGGAGTGGGGCCCCTTTCCGGGGAGGCCACGCCCCCTTCCCCTCGCCCCTCTTCGCCAGGCCCCTTCGCGCGCCCAGGTCGCTTTCTTAAGTTACTTTAATACTTTTTAATATACTTTTTAATACTTTTAATTATGTTGATTAATTATTTAAATTATTTAAAGTATCTAGGAAGGTATTTAGGTAGTTTTTGAAGGGGATTTCAGCCATGGGGGGTGTCTGAGGCCATCAGGAAGGTATTTAGGTAGTTTTTGAAGGGGATTTCAGCCATGGGGGGTATCTGAAGCCATCAGGAAGGTATTTAGGTAGTTTTTGAAGAGGATTTTGGCTGGGGGAGTAATCTGAAGCCATCAGGAAGGTATCGAAGTAGTTTTTAAGGGGGTTTCAGCTATGGGGGGAGGGGGTAGTTGAAGTCGTTAGCGTGGGTATTGATGTGGTAGGTGGAATGGTGTGGTGTAGGACATGTAGGGTAGCCCGAAGGCCAGATGGTTACAGTCGCGAAGCGACTGGAACCATCTGGTGGTATATAAATTTTCGAAAATGTGGATTTTTTTGGTCAAAAATAAGGAAAATTACCAAAGAATTAAGAGTTTCGAATGTTTTTTGTTTTTTTTGTAGCTTCTCAACTCTCAAAAACTGTTGAAAACACCAAAAAAAAATACAATATTACTATTAACAGGTTAGTAGACCGAAGAAAGAAAATTGGGTTTACCTCGCTAATGCCCTCCACTCCCCCCCCCCGCTAACAGTCCAGTATCAAAAATATCTTCAGAATATCTGATGTAGCGTTAACTGGATTTTCCATACCGATGGGGAAAATTTTGGATAGCCATAAAAACAAGGTTCAAAAAATATTTCAAACAGGGTCCATCGTGAAATTTTTCGCATTTCCGGGCCTAACCGAAGCTAAACCCCGAGCAACCTTATTTGCCAAATTCCTCGCAAAGTATTGAGTGTAGCCGGGCAATGACATTGTGATTCCCACCGTAGCCCTCTTCCGAATCTGGGCTATCAGATGTCGACCAAGCCCTCCCCGATATTGCGCGGCTCAGATTATTTACCTGGCCTCGCCGCCGGGGGCCCATATTCTCACGGTTCCCATTTATCAAAGCCGGCCCCCCAGCCAATCCACCCGATCGGCCCATTCATTCGCTACAAGTTGCCCCCCAGTCGGCTGGCCGCAGCGACTACGGTAGCTGTCTATAAAGTGCTCCAAACTGGCGGCTGGAAATCGCTACAAGTCGCCCAATTTTTGCTTGGCGACTACGGTATAAACTGTTGTTTTCTGCAGCGAGCCATTTGGTTGAGTTCTAAGGGTTTGCGATATTGCACCCGATCTACCGTACCCCCTGAGATGAGCTTCAACATCGAAGAATTACTCCGCCGGGCTAGTAAGTTTATAAAAATGCATTTTTTTACCATTTCGGCTATCTGTTAGTAAGAAAATAGCGTATTTATCTGGTTTTTAAGAGTTTTTGGTTTAGAAAATTTGCCCATTATGCTGAATAGAATAACAATGAGACCGTTTAAAACCATTTTTAACCAATAGATCAAAATAGCTACCCCGAGCCAAGTTTTTTGTTTAAAAACACAGAAAAATTCCATAAAAATCGTTTAAAACCCCGCTAAAAGAAAAGCGCGCCAACACGAGAATCACCTTTTTAGCCGAAACAATCCACGCGCAACCCGGCAGCCGCGATTCCGAGGATTCAGATGGCTCTGAACCCGCCGAAGAAGCCTTGGATCTCCACCAACGGCTTTTCCAGCTCCCAACATTGCCATTAATGCCTTCACATTCCCTTTTTCGTATGTTGACCGGAATTTAGTGTAGCTGATGCTTTTTTAGCTTTGCCCCCATTGCCGCTACTCCCATTTCCGCCTCTTGGCTTACACAATCCGGTCAACCCATCTCTTGGCGAGTTGCAAATGTTGTTGGGATTGCGAGGTACGGTTAAAATGGTGTAAAATACATAATAAATAATTCGAAAAACTAAAATTCAGGTAATTAAAAAAATTAACTAAACTATTCACTAAAAAATTGAATTTTTTTGGGTTATTGAGTTTTTTGTCAGTCGTAAAATGGAAACGCATTGAAAATGGTCGTTTTAGTACTCATAGTTTCTATATTTTGAGGATTTTAATTATTTTGAGCGATTTGAACGATTGAGGGGCAATTTTGAATGTCAAGAATATGGTTTTGCGTATGAATTTTTAAGTAAAAAAATGAGAAATCTCGAAAACATATGATTTTTATGACTTTTAAAATTTTTTCAATGCCTGTAGCTTTAGATGAAATGAAAATCCTAATTTTTAGATGCTATACAATTTAGATCTTTTGAAAATGGATTACTCCAATTTTTTTAGCCCGAAAACACGAGTACCATCGCGGTCGGAAGGCGACCGTTGAGCGCAAGCCGCGCCAAGCCTATTCCGCGCGACAACTCGACACGTTGGAAAAGGAATTCCAGGTGGAACCCTGAAATATGACTAACCTAATCGATATTTAGCGCGATAAATATTTATCGGTTGGAAAGCGTGTACAGCTGTCACAATCGCTGGCGCTCACCGAGACCCAAATCAAGACGTGGTTCCAGAATCGAAGGTGGGAGGCGCAAAGATTTCAAAGATGACAAAAAAAGATACAGAATTTAAAATGCTTTAACATGCGCTTGTTGATAGAGCTGTAATCAATTTGCAAAAACCGGGAAAACCGGGGAAAACGGCTCTGGAATAAACAGCCTTTAGTTTCCCGTCTATTTGTGGTTCTATAAGGACATCCGATGTCTTTTTCAAAGGTTTTTAGGGGTTTTTTAATTGCCAAAAAAATGAAAAAACATCTTTAACCTTTTGAGTTTCTCAAATTTCGGTCGTTTTTGGCTATTTTTTCATACATTTTTGACGCAAAAGGCACAATTTTCGAAATTTTGAATTTTTCAGTATCTTTATTCTAAAATCTAAAAGCCTTTATAGGGTTTTACATCTAAAAGCTATGTAAAACCCTATAAAATGTTAGATGTTTCGTCATTTAATACATTTTTGTTATATATTACTGGGGTAAACCCCCCCCCCCTCCGCTAATGGTCCAGTACCAAACCGGTGACTCATCCGTAAATTCGTGGCGCATTGAAAATACTTTAGCTCGGCTTCTACTCGGGGCAAATCAAAACGAGGTGCCAATCAGAAATATACGTATCTGTGGCGGAACGAAAAACTTTAATGATTCCAGGACGAAATGGAAGAAGCAGCTCTCGGCCTCACTCCGCTCATTCTGCACCGCTGACCCGCCAACATCTATCCCATCCATTCCTGTCTTTAGCTTTCCAACAAATGATTAGCTTGCCTCGACATGATTGTTTTGCTGTATCGCTACCTTACTCTTAGAGTGTTTTATATTTATATATATTTAGTCATATTTTATTATTTTGATTGATTCGTGCTAAAGTGGCTAAAAAATCCGGCCCGGACCCTCAGCGTCGATTCCTGGCAACGCCAGACATGCCTGATGCCGAAGCCTAAGCTTAAGCCGAAGCCCAAGCTTAAACCTAAACCTAAGCTCGAGATGAAGCCTGAGCTTAAGCCAAAGCTTCAGCTTCCTGTAGCTTTTTCAGGAATGGTATCGATGCCCAGGCAGGCGAATTTTGAGTTCCCGGCCTCTTTAAAGACAGCGTGTAGAGCCGCTCTGGGCACTGATCAAATTGATAAGCCGTCGCCAACACTCCAGAGCTCTGCTTGACTTCAATTTTATCGATTCATGCACGAATCGGGCTCATATATTGTATTCGATTGATTGGAAATGCGCGTAACTATCCTTGTCTTCAAATCTCCCCTTTTCTGACAGTTTCACATGAAATTTACTGGAATTTTTTCGAGCTCTACATTTGGTCCATCTCACAGGACTAGAAGGATGATAATGCAACCGGTGTTGACCTGTCCTTTTGAAGCGTCTGTTTTCTCTTTACTCTCACTCTCTCTATCTCTCTCTCTCTCTCTCTCTCTCTCTCTCTC